GAGTGGATTTTGCCTCATTTTCTGATGTGCAAAGGAAATGATAAAAGTTGATCCAAGGAGAGGGCAGAGACAAAGAAGAGGGATGACTCCTCCCTCGCAGGTCCACCTTCCTTGATTGTTGCTTGAGGGATCAGAAGAAACGCCTTAACATAGGTGCGTGGGAACTATGGCTGCTAAATGTGACCTCCAGTAATGAGCTAGTGTGAGGTTCTGCACTAATGTGAGCCTCCATGGTGTAATGGTGAGCTCTTTGGACTCTGAACACAGCAATCAGATTTCAAGTCTCAGGGGACCTTTCTGTATAATTACAATGATGTTGCTCTCTATTGCTCCCTAAATGGAATGTGGATTCCACTGAAATTCAGAGGCTCAGCGCTGCAGGTCTCCAATACTCTCCTTGGTGTTGAGGGTCACACAAACTGGGTTCTTACAGTGGTCTGGGCCACAGGAAAATTGCTGCAATTTCACAGATTCTCCAGGCTGCCAGCCACGTGCTACTGAAGACCCTTCCCCTCTCAGGGCAACCCTGGGCCTTCAGGTGAGAGGTCTCCTCTGCTAAAGAGGCTGCCACCCCTCAATCCCAAGCCCTGAGATTCCTTTTACTCATGTCATTGAACTGTTGCCCTGTGTCTCTTTGGAAGAAACAACCTATATAAGAAACTTCACTTCCAGATTTCCTAATTCCTTCATCCCTTCGGATGCTGCAGTTTTTAATCTCCTGTCTTCAGTCTAGTACTAATGTGCGGGTTTCATTTCATTTTCATGGGATCCCCTCCAATTGGGAACCAGTGGATTCCTGTCCTTGAGGTCTCTGTGGACAGCGACTAGATGCTGCTTTTGTCCCAAATCCTGACACCTCTCTCCAGGGAATTGCCTTCCTTAGCCTCCTGTATCAGCCAGTATTTAGATTTGAGCCTGGGATCCAAGCCTCTGTGGAGACCATGGGTTCCCCATTCCAGGCCAGCTCTCTCACAGTGAATAGGCGATGAGCTGAGCAGATGGGAGGGGCAAGTCCAGGACCCTGGCATCCTCCTCCTTGCTGCCCAGACTCTGCTCTGCTTCCTGCCCAGACTCAAGGAGACTTAGGACCAGATCAGATGGAAACTCTTTTGTTCTCTTCTAATCAACACAAAAAATTAGGCAATAGTTCTGGGGGACCTTCCTAGCCTGACAAATGTCGTGGCCAAATCTCTCCAGTTCTGAAACTGTCCAAGCTTACCAAGTGTTTTGAGTTTGGGAAAGGAGGGGAAAGAGCAGACAGGAGAATAAAGACAATGAGCGGGGGAGGAGAAAGGGTGTGTGAGGACCGGGATTCACCCTGACAGTGGAGTGACTGCTACCTGCCACCTAGGTTCCCACCATGGCACCTTCCTGCAGGTGGTTTCCATCTCTTATTGGTGGCCTAAGAACTAGACTCTATACAAAGGCCCCACCCTATTTGTCTGGTGTGACTCCTGGCAAAGTTTCTTTTCATCATTTGGGGGATAGGATGGGGATGAATAGGTTTGCAAGTGACTAGGACCCAAGTCAGGACCTTGTGGTCCCTCACAGTTCAGTGACAAGTAGCCTCCTTCCCCCGACTCCCCCTGCAGGACAGTTGCTTGCAGGACAAGGCCTGGAGGAGCCCTGGGTGCCCAAAGTCACAAAAATGCCCAGGGATGAGTCCCAGCTGGAGATGCCTTGGCTCATCTGACTGAGCTTCCAGGGCACACAGGGCAGAGACTCTGGGAATCTGGACAGGAGACTGAGCAAGAGAACCAGGGAGGTTGTGCAGCAGGCTTCTGTACAGCACCGCAGACACTCTTCTTGGAGCCCCACCCCAAGTCAGGCCATCCACCTCCTCTTCCTAAGAACCCTTCATACAGCGATTCTTTTTTTTTTTTTTTTGTGATGGAGTTTAACTCCTGTTACCCAGGCTAGAGTGCAATGGCATGATCTCGGCTCACCGCAACCTCCGCCTTCTGGGTTCAGGCAATTCTCCTGCCTCAGCCACCCGAGTAGCTGGAACTACAGGCACACGCCACCATGCCCAGCTAATTTTTTGTATTTTTAGGAGAGATGGGGTTTCACCATGTTGACCAGGAGAGTCTTGATCTCTTGACCTCATGTTCCACCCTCCTCGGCCTCCCAAAGTGCTGGGATTACAGGTGTGAGCCACCGAGACCAGCGATTCTTTTACTAGAACCACAAGGTGATAGCACCTAGATTTCAGTGCCCTCATCTGGCCAACTATCTGCAGCTGCCAATGCCCAAGGCAGCCTCCCTTCCTACCAAGACCTGAACTCAGGACCTTACCTTAAGGAGAAGATGTCCTGTCATTTCTTTCCCATCAGAGCTGCTTGGACCAAATGCGATCTCTGTGTGGTGACCAGGACAGTCCCCTCACCTGTCTCTTAGGCTGGGGAGTGCAGATTCTCCTAAGCTCCCTGTAAGTACCTAACAGTCTCGTGTGGCTCCAGCTCACACAGGAATATCCACGGCCCATATTTCCAAAAACTCTTTTCCTCCCACTCTGAATCCATCCTCTACTGCATGTTCCCCTCACAGAGCAGACACTGTTTTCTTCACATCCTCGGTTTGCCTGCCCATGACCCAGACTGACCTTTCTTTTGTAGAACTGCCTCTCCCTCTTTGGACAGTGTCTTTCTGCTACTGCACATGAAGATGTCCCGCCCTCCCCTGCTCACGGAGAGAGTGCCTGATCTGAGCTGGGCCATCATATCCAGTACTTACCTGGAATAGAAGACAGGCAGGGTGGCCAAAGACTACATGAATCTCTGAAGCTCATCCACTTGAGAGAGAGACCCGGAAGATACTGGTCCTTCATTCCTGCTGTGTATATCCAATGTGACTGAGCTCTGAATAAAATGTACAAGTTATAATAATGTAGTAATTGACTCAGCAAACCAGGACACGAACATGTTAGAGGGTGAGGTGTTGAGAGGCATGTTTGGGGGTGGTGGTGATGAGCGAGTATTTGAATAAGAGATAGGGCCTAACCTCAGAAAGCAAAGACTAATAATAGCTATTTAGAGATAAGGAGCTGAATAATTATGTACACATGGGGCCTGCTGTTTTACTAAACAAATTTTGAAGTATACATAACTCTGATGAAGTATCCTAAATAAAAAACATTTTGCCATATATTTTGTGTCTATATTTACATCCACATATATATTTCTATTCATTGTATTTTGAATATAAATTTGTACAGTCATGTTAATCCCTCTTTTCCTTTAAGGATTTGAGTTTGATGTCATGCATAACACGTGTCCCCACCGAACGACTACAGAAATGTTGGCAAAGGAGGCTCAGAGGAAATGGTAGGCAATACTACCCAGTTTTGGCCAGAAGAAGGAGATAGAAAGTATTCTCACAAAATGTTAACAATGTGACTTGTTATATCGTCTTTCCACAGTAATTTGGGCAGAAATTAGTGAAATCGAAAGGTATAAATACCTTGATCTGGCCATTCCATTTCCAGGTATCTGCGCAGAAGTAGACAGGGGATGCACGACACATGTATGTGTCAGTCTGATCCCTGCAGCTGTGTTTGTAATAATACACACTGGAGCAATTTCACAGCCATCAGTTAGAGAAGGTTTGAAGAATGATCCACTTGTATCAAGAAGGGTGTTTAAAAGATCAAAGCCTGATGGAAATGCTGGAGGCAATGGCACTGATAGGAGCTCATGTGTATTGAACAATTACTATGTGAGAGGCATTGGGCTCCACGCTTTTCCTGCACAGCTCATTTAAACATTGGACAACCTGAGTATTCTGGTTTAGTGCATTTGACATAGAAATGGAGGCACAAAAAATTCATGTGTTTAACTTCAGACCCTGGCAGATTAGATTTCTCCCCCAAAGTCTGTGGCTTCACCAGAGGTGTGACTCAGGTTCTGTCATTCTCCATTTTAGAAATTTCCAGTGTTCCAAATATGAGCAGCTGAGGAAACAAACTCAAAACCTGAAACACCAAGATAAGGGAAGATGTTTGTTGGGGGGAGATTAAAAATGGAGTTTTTTTGCCCAAGCAACAAAGAGACAGGTTGGAAAATAGACAAGAGACAAGTTTGTGTGTGTGTGTGTGTGTGTTTATATAAGATGGGGTTTAACCATGATAGCCAGGCTGGTTTCAAACTCCTGACCTCAGGTGATCCACCCACCTCAGCCTCCCAAAGTGCTAGGATTACAGGCGTGAGCCACAGCACCCGGCCTGAAGAGAAGTTTTAAGATATATTTGGTCCAAGGAAGAGACTCTTCAGATGGAAGGTCATGTCCGCTAGAAACATTCATGTGACTGGATGGGCTCGAACCACTGTTTCAGTCAACATCTGACAGCACCAACCTAGTGGTCCAGAGACACTGCTTGTGAAACAGTGAAAGCTGCTGCTCAAGTGTCATTCATCATAGTCAGATACTGTCATTTAGTAGTACAGGGAGGTATTCTCTGTTCCAAGCTCGAGTACCCATAACTCTGCTGTTTTGTTGAAACTTCCTCCCCACCACCAGCCTCTTTAGAAGACTGGGAGCTCTGCAAACATCCAGGCCAAGAGTCCTGTCCTTGTGCATGTTTGGGCATTGATCCAGGCCCAAATCTGTGGGAGACTCCTCCATGCACATTCCAGGTGCCCAGGTGACAGCGGCAGTCTCTAGATCTGGGGTCATCCACTTTCCCATTTCTAGCCCACCTCACCCATCATGAAGCCTGGTCAGGGTTGCCAGAGATTCCAGTGAGCAGGTGCTATTTGTGTGTGTGTTTGCCAGAAGCAAACAAGAAACCTGCTGTGTGCCCACCTGGCTGATCCCTCCACCTTTCTAGCCAAGGGCTTCATGAGCCAGGGCCCTTGGGGTTGCTCACAAGGCAGCCCCTCACCGAGTAGGCATTGCTTTATTATGTGTATGTACATGTCCCCAGTAATTTGAAATATTTAAAGAATGGTTAAATGATCACTTGACAGTTACACTATAAACAAAAGATACACAGTTAAACATCATTATTTTGAGAAGATACATTTTAATGTCATTTTCAATCTTTAAAATCTCTGGTTTTATTTTGAATAAAATCTTCAATCTTAAAAAGATTACTGCAAAAAAAAATTACAGTCCATTTGCATTTTCAAATAATAAACTTGGAAATATGTTCTTATGAATGTCAACAGTCAATGCAGTGTGGAATATTAAGAACTGACTTTCATATAACAGGTAAGTTTAGAGACATGAGAAAATGTTTAATAAATTTTAATGGTGTATGTTTATTTAAATCTAGTTTTCTATTCTGTTTTGGGAAATAATTGTCTGTTGCTTTTAGTGTATTCTCCTTCCTGTCCACATATGTGGAATCTACCTATTCTCTTCTCTTTTGAAATAGTTTAAAAAACTCAAAGAGAATGGCCTGGGCTTTTCATGTCCTTAGTCTGATAGACCTTTCCTGGCTGCTCAAATAGTTATTAGCAGCTAAGAAAACTACGTCTCTTGTCAGCAACAAATCAAAAAAGGCTTCAAAATCAGTGAATTCTCTCTTTTGCTGTGGCCTTATGTGCTGACAGTCTTAAGAGAAAACATTTTAATAGTATAGATTAAAATTAACTTTGGCAAAAATTAAAATGCAGGCAGGAAATTTTTTTTCCAACAACAGACAACTAGGAAAAGCAAAGATACAGGAAAAATTGAAAATTTCCAGTAGAGAGATATAAATATAATAATGGACACCACCAGGGATGATTAATGAAGAAAATGTTTAGGGGATGGTCATTTGAACACAGCATATTAATACTTTTAAAAACCATTTTTCCAATTACTTTGGTATAAATAAGCTGTCTCTGAAAGGTACAGATCTGGCATCACGATAATGGTGATAGACAAATAGTGAAACGGTCCTGGTATCACGATCATGATGGTAGACAAATGGTGGAAGAGTTTTGGTATCACGATCATGGTGATAGACAAATGGTGGAAGAGTCCTGGTATGACAATCATAATGGTAGATAAAAGGTAACAGTCTTGGCACCCCAATCATGGTGGTAGACAAATGGTGCAACAGTCCTGGTATCACAATCATGGTGGTAGACAAATGGTAGAACAGTCCTGGTACCACGAGCATGGTGGTAGACAAATGGTGGAATAGTCCTGGTATCACAATCATGGTTGTAGACAAATGGTGGAACCGTCCTGGTACCACGAACATGGTGGTAAACAAATGGTGGAACAGTCCTAATATCACGATCATGGCGGTAGACAAATGGTGGAACAGTCCTGGTATCACGATCATGGTGGAACACAAATGGTGGAAGAGTCCTGGTATCAGGATCATGGTAGACAAATGGTGGAACAGTCCTGGTATCACAATCATGGTGGGAGACACACGGGACCTTCTCTGCCTGCAGATGGGTGAGGTAGCATTGACCCTGCAGTGTTCCCAGAAAAACACTTAGGCTGAATTTAATCATGAGGACATTTTCAGACAACTTCAGAGGGTAGAGCTTTGAGTCAGACAGCTGACCTGTCCTCTACAAACAAGCCCATGTCACCACCATCAATGACAACAACAAAAGGTGAGGAGACACTTTGGGTTCAAAAGAACTAAAGAAATGTAGCTACATTATCTTTTTACTCTTTTTCAACCCAAAATGTCTCTTCTCCTTTTGGTTGTGTGATTTGTGGTGACATGGGCTTTCTGAAGGAGAAAGGTCACTTGTGCTGCTCACTGCTCTACATTCTGAAGTTGTCTGGAGATTACCTCAGGCTATGAAACTCAGGCTAAGTGTTTCAGCAAGAACATGGTGGTGTTCATACTCTGCACCGGCAGAGTCCCACGTGACACGTTGTCTTAGTGTGGAAATATGACCCCTACCCGGGAGACCAGGGGGAGGAGTCTTGTCACCGTCGTAGTAAGAAACCTACTGTCCATGTCCAAAGACAAGCGAACACACTCTTCCACAAATAAAAAATAACATATGTGTAAGCCTGGCATGTGAAATAAAACTCAGGATAAGCTGCATAAGTTGAATACAATACATCCAGTGAGTACCGGAAGACTTCAGGTTCTTCTGCTTCCACCAGCTCCATGCTGAGCCTAGAAAAGGAAGAAAAACCAAAGAATAAGTCAGGGAAAATAAGACACCGCAGAGCTCCAGCTAGATTTCATGGGGAGCACAAGAAAGTGGTTAATAAAGAAAAAACATAGATCCATTAATGACATAACAAATTATTGCTTTATGTCGGGATGGGCAGGAGTAGGGTAAAAAAGAATCAAAGAGAGAGGGAAAGTAAGCTAAGTGATCTGTCCAGGTGACACACTGATGAGGGAGTAAAAGGACACTCTGAGTGAGTACCCTCAGGACACACAGCGTACACTGATCATAAAACCAAGTATCGTCAACCTACGGTAGTTAGTAAATGATAAGGGGAGGGAGAAATGGAAACCTAAGTATCTACCGCAATGAATACCAACAGCAATGTTAGTAGAAATCATTCAGGCTTCATTGGAAACATGGTATCGATATTGTCAGCCCACTCTTTTCCCTGGACCTGGTGTCTCCAGGTGTCAACACAAAATTAGCTGTTGACAATTGCTCAAAGTTACCTGGGGCATGGTGGGCCTTGGTCTTCTTCTGCTGCTTGGTCATTTTTAATCTCTGCAATAAATGCAGACAGGGACAGACAAAATAAGCCAATTCTCCTACACCCATAACCGTCCACTGTCTAATCCCTGCACAGGGACCTCAGGCTCCTCAACATGAGAGCAGGATAATGTGAGAGACAGACTTCAGGAGGTCTGAAGGCCAATCATGAGAGAGATTTCTTGGTTCCTGTCTCAGACCAATGATGAAATGTCCCTATTCTGGTAGACCATTATCCTTTTATCCCAAGTTTCTACAGACAGTTACACCAAGTTTGTACAAACAGGGAAGAACCTCACAGACATGCTTGGGGAACAAAACTCATGAGGAACTTGGTAGCTGGCAAGAGACATTTAATTCAGATTGACAGACAACTTGTGGGCATGTGCTGCAGAGCTTGGCGTGAGTGTGCAACACCTGCCTTAAGTTTCAATGTCCTGACAGTCGGTCCAGGGTGCGACGGGCATGGCCTGAGACTAGAGACAGGGCAAAGCTCACTGTCCCACCCCATGCCGGTGCTTCAGACTGGAATCCAGAGTGATTGAAATCTACACTCACGTACAGGCTCAGCCCACAGTGATGACAACTCTCAGCCCAGCCAGGGGAGCAGTGCCCAAAGACTAAGGGGTCTATCTGGGACACAAAATGGAGCTTTAGCGCCTTCACAATGGAGTCACTCACTGTCTATGTCAACAGCCGAGATGACTTGCTGGTCCTCTAATGAGTGGAAGTTGCTCCTCAAAGTCTCATTGAAGGCAGATGGGCCAGGAGGAACTGAGAGAGTCGAATCACCTTCATCCCAGGACTCCTGCGGGGCTTCCTCCTCCACAGACTCCTGCAGATTCCTGATGAGCCAGGCAGGACAGGACGGCAGATTAAACCAACAGATTAGACAACAAAGTCCCCCAGCTGATCTGATGGAAGTCACAATGGAGTGGTCACAGAAAGCAAAGGCATTTTTCCTTCAAGAGAAAAAAAAACTATCCTTCTAAATGCAGGGTGAAGGGTGACTACCCTGGGGACACAGCACAAATGAGCAGCAGGTGCTCAGTGCATTTGCCACAGATGAGCCACTGCAGGCCACCCAGACTCCCTGGAAACTACCATCATGAACTGCAACACGAGCACTAACATGGGGATTCAACTACCTCGCGTAAGTTGTGTTGAATTTTACATGCAGCATTCAAGTGAACAGAGCTCCTGAGGCATTTCAGACACCCAGATCTTCTGTACTAAGGGCCTCCCTTTTCCAGTATTTTGATAGCATATGTATATTTTTTTAATTTCTTCTCTTCACAAATCCTAGCAAACATGCTAACAACAAATGGGTAGAAAGCATATCCACATCTCTCCCTGGAATTAAACCCATGGGAGAGAACAGGGGAAACCAAAAAATCCCTGTTTGCTGAGTTCACCTGGCTCAGCAGATTGCAGGTCCCTATCTTGGGAGGACTAAGAAATTAAAACCTATACAAGTGCCACACATCACCCACAGCACTGTCAATGAGGACAATCTGTAGCTGGTGAATGGAAGGCAGAGTTCTAGTCATCATTTTCTCCTTTTCCTGGATCTGCAGTCTCCAGGTGTCACTATGGAACTAACAGCCCACAGCTCCACAGCATTACCTGGGGGGCACTGGCCCTTTCTCCTCCTCTTCCTCAACATCACCTTGACTTCCTGTAAATAAATTCAGAAAAGCAGGTCACATTAAGCAAATCACACTTCACATATGACCAAATCAGTGTTTAGTCATAGCACAGGCACAGAAATGATCTCACGGCAAGAATACAAATTCTGACAGGAAGATTCTAGGGTGCCCCAGATGAAGCCTGGTGAGTAGATGAGCCTGCTTTCCAGATGCACAGGCCAAAAGCTCCCTGTATGGGTAGGCCATAATGCCATATTCTCTCCCTGAGTCTATGCAAATTTAAATCAAATTTTTTCCCAGAAAATCTCCAAAAATAAGTCAAACTCTTTCCCGGGAGTGTTGCTGCAATACTGACTTATCTCACCAGGGAGCAAGGTCATTGAATGGTCAGAAGCATCTATACATGAAACGAGATGGATATGTAAATTCTAACAACACTTGCTGCAAATAGAATCTGTAAGCTTTGCGCAGTGGCAGTATCATAGCCAATGGGGTTTATCTGAGATGAGATTATCGCTAATTGAAAACAATCCCAATACCTCGCCGAGATGACATGTAATAGAGTCGGCATTGACAACTTTTGACAGTCTCTAGGGAGAAGGAATGAAAAAAGACAAAACAAAAGATAAAACAATCTCTGGGCTGGGCATAGTGGCTCAGGCCTGTAATCCCAGCACTCTGAAAGGCCGAGGTGAACACTTCACGAGCTCAGGAGATCGGGACCATCCTGGCTAATACGGTGAAAGCCTGTCTCTACTAAAAATACAAAGAAATTAGCTGGGCGTGGTGGCACGTGCCTACACTCTTAGCTACTCAAGAGGCTGAGGCAGCAGAATCGTCTGAACCCAGGAGGCAGTTTGTAGTGACCTGAGATCATGCAACTGAACCCCAGCCTGATTGAGAGACTCCACCTCCAAAACAAAACAAAACAAAACAAAACCTATGATTTGAAAGGACAAAGTAGGTGAAAGATTTAAGGTCAGGAGTTCAAGACTAGCCTGGCCGATATGGTGAAACCTCATCTCTACCAAAAATTAAAAGTTCACTTGGTGTGGTGATGGGCACCTGCAGTCCCAACATCACAAAGCGAGGGGCTTTACCTCATTTGGATAAGCGGTCATAAGTGTTCGCACTGCAAGATGTCTGCCTTTGCAGATGGAGAGAGAAATTTGCCTGACTTTGCAGATGGAGAGACAGAAAGGAAGGAAGGAGAGAAATCAAGTGCTCAGTGACAGTTACTAAAGACACTGCTGAAGATACAGCCTGGGAACCTTCATTCTCAATCCAGAGATCTTTCCACTCCAACAACCCCTCTCCTGTCACAGCTTCCTTCCTGTCCTTTACACCTGGAAAGATGCTGCCTCTTGTTCCAAAGACCGCCTTTCATCAGATTATGGAAGGAGCAGAGTCCTCTTTAAGCTCCCCACAGCGGGTTCTGTGTATTATTACCGCATTGCCCCCAGGACCCGAGAACAGACCTTTGCCTACTGGACCTCAGCAGAAACCTGCACTGAATGGCAGTTCACGAGCCTCAGACATTTAGACCAACAGACTGGATGCTACTTGTCTGCAGGATCTCATGTGGTACAGAGAGAATTCCTGTCAACATGATTAAGCCTACTGCTGAGAAAAACAGGTGGTTCTGTGCTTGTGCCAGGAATCATAGCTGAGATGTTACGGAGTCCCACACCCACCTTACTGCAGATGTAGAAAAGTGGCTACATACTTTGGCCTCTCTCATCCGCTTGTAACAATATGTTAAGATACAAATTTACATTTGCTTAGAAGTATGAAAACAAAGAAATAAATTCTGCCGAAGAGAGTGTTCAGTTTTTCAGAGAAATGACAGGATATCGTTCAGCACTTCCGTGATAGTGAATGAAGAGAACTTACCTTCCGTCTTCAGCCAGCAGTCCAGGTAGTAGGCCGCTTGACTCCTAAGATGTTTATTTTTGCTGTCTCTGCATTTCTGTTCTTCATCATGATCTTTTTGATCATCTGTAAACAAATTCAGAAAGCAGGTCACATTCAGCAAATCTCACTTCACACAAGACCAAATCAGTGTCCTGTCATAGCAGAAGACCATAAAATATTCTCAATGGAAGATTGAGATATTATGATGGGAATGTTCTAAGGGGCCCGAGATTAAGTTGCCTCAGAAGCAGATGAGCCTGCTTTTCAGATCCACGGGACAAAATCTGTCTCATCTTGTAGAAATCAATCCCATATCCTAAGACTTAAGTCAGTGCAAACAATTAAAACTTTTTTCCCAAAATCTTCAAAACTTGCCCTACTTTCCAGAAGGGTTGCTGCAATACTGATCTATCTCATTATATCATGGTCAAGGAATGGTTAGAGAAATTTACATAGGAGACTGAACCAATGGGTCAGTACTTACTCATCCATACAATAGAACTTACTGTAGGTCTTCAGCCGGCAGTTCAGGGAGTAGTTCGCCTCACTCAGAAGACATCTATTTTTGCTGACTGGGACATTCGGTTTGTTATTTTCTTGCTGGGAGCAGGATTTCTCAATGCCTTCTGGAACGTTCACCTCTGTGTATTTTCTGTAAGGAGGCCGGCCAGATGCCACCTTGCTGATGTTTGAAGCAGATAACAGAAAGCCAGGGACTGGGGAGAAGAAACACAAACACATGGTGGGTTAGAATCTGGTGACATCAAATTAGTTCAATCAGGACTGAGGGATGACACTGACAGCCTTGCCTACTGATTTGAAGATGTTATTTCCCCAAATTACTCTTCTCATCTCCACTCTTGATCTCCTTAAAGTCAAGTTGTCTTAGCTACTCATTCAAATTGAAGCCAGTACATAAACATTTCTACCTCTTTCTTCTTATGAGTTCTGAAAAATCTTATATGGTACGCAGAAAATTCCTATAAACATGATTTAGCCTCTTGCAGAGAAAAGCAGGTGGTTTGGTGCCTGTGTTAGGAATCAATAGCTGGATGTTAACCCCAGTCTCACATATGTCTTACTACAGATGTGCAAAAGTTGCTAAATAGTTTCGCCTCTGTGTTACGTCTTTAACAAAATGTTAAAATACTCATTGCTATTTTTCTAGAAATATGAGGATGAAATTAACTTTGAAGAAGAGAGTGTATAATTCCTCAGAGAAAAGAAAAAACATTGTTGACCACTTCCGTGATGCTGAACCTATGGAACTTACCTTCCGTCTTATGCCGGCAGCACAGGTAGTAGGCAACTTGACTCATAACAAGTTTCTTTTTCCTGTCTCTGTATTTCTGTTCTTCGTCGTGACCTTTTCGATCTTCTGTAAATAAATTCAGAAGAGAAGGTCACATTAAGGAAATTGCACTTCACACAAGACCAAATCAGTGTCCTGTCATAGCACAAGGATGTAAAATATTCTCAGCGTAAGAACGTGATATTCTGACAGGAATGTTCTAACAGGCCCTAGATTAGGTTGCCTCAGTAGTATATGAGCCTGCTTTTCAGATGCATAAGACAAAATCTCCCTCATCAGGTACATCTTAATCATGTATCCTCTGACCTAAGTCAGTGCAAATGATTAAAACTTTTCTCCCAAATCTTCCAAATTTGCCCTTACTGCTTTCCAGAAGCATTGCTGCAATACTAATCTAGCTCCACATATATTGTGGCCAATGAATGGTTAGAGAAATTTATATAAAAGACTGGACCGATGGACAAATTCTAACAACCTTAAAGAAAAATCCATGGAGCCAGCCTGGTGTCTCACACCTGGAATCCCAGCATTTTAGGAGGCCCAGGAACGCAGATCACTTGACCTGAGGAGTTCAAGACCAGCCTGGCTAACATGGTGAAACCCCACCTCTACTAACAATACAAAACTTAGCCATTTTCGGTGGTGCCCACCAGGGATCCCAGCTAACTGGGAGGCTGAGGAACCATTATAAGGGTACTTCCTGCTCTTGCTGGTGCCACCTACACATAACACAGGTTCTATTAGAAGCAGAGCCCCTTCGACCTCTTCACAGGAGGAACTGTGTGCTATCACCACGTTTCCCGCAGGGTCCGAAAGGCACAGCTTTGCCTACTAAGCCTCAAAAAACCAGAACCAAGTAAAAGTTCAGTAGCTTCAGACATTTTGATCAACAAGCTAAATGCTACTTGTCTGCAGGATCTTATACTGTACAGAGAGGATTCCTGTAAACATGAATTCGGTCTCTTGCTGAGAATAAACAGGAGGTTCTGTACCTGTGTCAGACACTGATAGCCTGGATTGTGACCCCAGTCCCACACCCATCTTACTGCAGCTGTGGAAAAGTAGCTAAGTACTTCGGTTTCCGTCTTCCATCTTTAACAACAATGTTAAAATACCCATTTCTATTTTTTACAAGTATGGGAAGGATGAAATAAATTTTGATGAAGAGAACTGTGAGTTTCTCAAAACAACACAGGACATCATTGATCATTTTCATGGTGGTCATCCTCTAGAACTTACTGTATGACTTCAGCCGGTAGTTCTGGAAGTAGGCCACCTGACTCAGAAGAAGTCTATTTTCGGTGGTTCCAGCATTTGGTTTGTTTTCTTCCTGTTGTGAGCAGAACTTCTCAGTGCCTTCTGGAACATTCACCTCTGGGTTTATTCTGGAAGGCCTGCCAGACGCCACCATGTGGACGTTTGGGGCAGAACACAGAAAGCCAGGGACTAAAAAGAACAAACCCAAACACATGATGGGTTAGAAACCTGTGACGTTAAATTGGTTTAATCAGGACTGAGTGATGTCACTGACAGCCTTGCCTATTGGACATGTTGTTTCCCTGCCTTGACTCTTCTCATCTCCACTCTTGATCTCCTTTAGGTTAACGTTCTTAGCTATTCAATCACCATAAAACCAGGAAATACACATGTCTACCTTTATCTTGCTAATAAGTTCTTCAGGATCCTACATATTAGAAAGGATTCCTGTACACATGATTTAGTTTCTTGCTGAGACACACAGGTGGTTCTGTGCCTGTGTCAGAAATCATTAGCTGTGATATTGACCCTAGTCCCAAACCCACCTTACTGCAGACATGGAAGAGTTGCTAAATACCTTGGCCCTGACTTCCAAATTTACCAAAATGTAAAAATAATCATTGCTATTTTCCTAGAACCATGGTAAGGATAAAATTAAATTGAAGAAGAGAGTGCATCATTTGTAAGAGACAAAACAGGACATTGTGCAGCACTTCCATTATGGTGAAACTATAGAACTTACCTTTCGTCTTCAGCCGAGAGCCCAGGCAGAAGGCCGCTTGACTTGTAAAATGCTTATTTTTCTTTTCTCTGTATTTCCGTTTTTCATTATAATCTTGATCACCTGTAAAAAAATTCAGAAGAGCAGGTCACATTCAGCAATTCTCAATTTAAACTAGAACAAGCCAGTGTCCTGTCAAAGCAAAAGAAAGTAAAATAGTCTCAATGGAAGAATGCGATACTATGATGGTAATGTTCTCATGGGGCCCTACATTCGGTTGCCTCAGAAGCAGATGAGCCTGCTTTTCAGATCCATGGGACAAAATCTGTCTCATCTTGTAGATCTCGATCCCATATCCTCTGACTTAAGTCAGTGCAAACGATTAAAACTTTTATCCCAAAATCTTCACAACTTCCCCTGACTGCTTTCCAGAAGGGTTGCTGCAATACTCATCTAGCTCATCCTGTATCACAGCCAACGAAGGGTTAGAGAAATGTATACACAAGACTGGACCAACGAATATATTTTTTGACAAGCTCTGCTTAAAAAAAGAATCTGTAAAGCCAGCATGGTGGCTCATGCCTCGAATCCCAGAACTTTAGGAGGTCTGGGAGGGCAGATCCCTTGACCTCAGGAGTTCGAGATCAGCCTGGCCAACGTGGAGAAACCCCGCCTCTGCATCAAACACAAACAGCAGCCAGGCGTGGTGGTGCCCACCGGGGAGCCCAGCTAATTGGGAGGCTGAGGCACCGGTACCAGGGTACTTCCTGCTCTTGATGGGGCCACTTACACATTCGACAGGTTCTACTCTCAGGAGCAGGATCCCCTTTCAGTTCCTCAAAGGAGGTACTGTCTACTATCGCCGTGTTTCCCCCAGGGTCCCCAACACACAGCTTTGCCTGCTGGGCCTCGGCCGAAACCGAAACCACGTGCAAGTTCAGCAGCCTCAGACATTTGGACCAACAGACTAGATCCTACTTCTCTGCAGGATCTTGTACTGTACACAGAGGATTCCTGTAAACATGGAATCAGCCTCTTGCTGAGAAAAACAGGTGGTTCCGTGCCTGCGTCAGAAATCCATAGCTGGGATTGCAACCCCAGTCCCACACCCACCTTACTGCAGACGTGGAACAGTTGCTAAACACTCTGGCCTCTGTCTCCCACCTTTAACCAAATGGTAAAACACACATTTCTATTTTCTAGGAGTATGGGAAAGACGAGATTAACTTTGAGGAAGAGAGTGGTCAGTTTCTCAAGATGAGGCAGGATATCATTCATCACTTTCGTGGAGGTGAACCTATGGAACTCACCGTATGCCCTCAGCTGGTAGTTCAGGGAGTAGTTCACCTCACTCAGAAGACATCTATTTTGGCGAACTCCAACATCCGGTTTGTTATCTTCCCGCCGGGAGAAGGATTTCTCAATGGCTTCTGGAACGTTCACCTCTGGGTCTTTTCTGGAAGGAAGTTTACCGGAATCCACCCTGCTGATGTTTGGGTAACAATACAGAAAGCCAGGGACTGGAAAGAAGAAACCCAAGACATGGTGAATTAGAAAGTGGTGACGTCAAATTGGTGTAATCGGGACTGAGGAATGTCACTGACAGCCTTGCCTATTGATTTCAAGATGTTATTTCCCCAAATTAATCTTCTCATCTGTGCTCTCGTTTCCCTTAGAGTCAACTTGTCTTAGCTACTCATTTACCTTGAAGCCAGGACATAAACATTTCTACCTTGATCCTGTTTTTCAGTTCTAAAGGATCTTATATGGTATGGGTAAGATTCCTGTAAACATGATTTAGCCTCCTGCAGAGAAAAGCAGGTGTTTTGGTTCCTGTGTTGGAAATCAGCATCTGGGATGTTCACCCAATCTCACACCTGTCTAATTGCAGATGTGGAAAGTTGCTAAGTAATTTTGCCTGTGTGTTAAGTCTTTAAGAAAATGTTAACATACCAATTGCTACCTTCCTAGAAGTCTGTGAGTGATAAAATTAAAATGAATAAGAGAGTAGAGCAGTTGTCAGAGACAAGACAGAACACTGTCCAGGACTTCCGTAATGGTGAACCTACAGAACTCACCTTTCATCCTCAGCCGGCAGGCCAGGTAGCAGGCCACTTGACTGATAACAAGTTTGTTTTTGCTGTCTCTGTATTTTTGTTCTTCATCGTGATCTTCTTGATCATCTGTAAACAAATTAAGAAGAGCAGGTCACATTAAGGAAATCGCACTTCACACAAGACCAAATCAGAGTCCTGTCATAGCACAAGGACGTAAAATATTCTCAGTGTAAGGATGTGATATTCTGACAGGAATGTTTTAACAGGCCCTTGATTAGGTTGCCTCAGTAGTATATGAGACTGCTTTTCAGATCCATGGTACAAAGTCTCCCTCATCTGTTAGATCTTAAACCATGTATCCTCTTACCTAAATCAGTGCAAATAATTAACCTTTTTTTCCCAAATCTTCAAAAATTGCCGTAACTGCTTTCCAGAAGCATTGCTGCAATACCGAGTTATCTCATCATATATCATGGTCAATGAATGGTTAGAGAAATTTATATAGGAGACTGGACTGATGGATGAATCCTAACAACCTTTACTTAAAAAAGAATCCATGGAGGCAGCCCAGTGTCTCACACCTGGAATTCCAGCACTTTAGCAGGCCCAGGGAGGCAGATCACATGACTTCAGGAGTTGAAGACCAGCCTGGCCAACATGGTGAAACCCCGCCTCTACTAACAATACAAAAATTAGCCATTTGCGGTGGTGCCCACCAGAAATCCCAGCTAATTGGAAGGCTGAGGCACCAGTACCAGGGTACTCCCTGCTCTTGATGGTGCCACATACACATACCACAGATGTTATTGGAGCGGATTCCCCTTCTAGCTCTCCATAGGAGGTATTGCGTGCTATCACCACATTTCCCCCAGTGTCCCCAGAACAGAGCTTTGCCTACTGGGCCTCAGAAAACCAGAAGCAAATGGAAGTGCAGTAGCCTTAGACATTTTGACCAACAGACTAGATGCTACTTGTCGGCAGGATCTTATACTGTACAGAGAGGATTCCTTTAAACATGGCTTTGGTCTCTTGCTGAGAAAAACAGGTTGTTCTGTGCCTGCCTCAGAAACTGATAGCTGGGATTGTGACCCCAGTTGTACACCCACCTTACTGCAGACGTGGAGAAGTTGCTAACTACTTTGGCTTCTGTCTTCCATCTTTAACAAAATGTTAAAATACCCATTGCTAATTTCTACAGGTATGGGAAGAATGAAATTAATTTTGATGAACTGTTAGTTTCTCAAAACAACACAGGACATCATTGATGACTTTCGAGGTGGACAACCTACAGAACCTACCGTCTGTCTTCATCCGGTAGTTCTGGAAGTAGGCCACCTGGCTCAGAAGAAGTCTGTTTTTGCTGGCTCCGACATTTGGTTTGTTTTCTTCCTGTTGTGAGCCGGATTTCTCAATGCCTTCTGGAACGTTCACCTCTCGGTTTATTCTAAAAGGAGTCCTGCCAGATGCCACCATGTTGACTTTTTGGGTACAACACAGAAAGCCAGGGACTGGGGAGAAGAAACCCAGACACATAATGGGTTACAAACTGGTGACGATAAGTTGGTTTAATCAGGACTGAGGGATCTCACTGACAGCCTTGCCTATATTGCACATGGTGTTTCCCTGCTTTTACTCTTATCTCCACTATTGATCTCGTTTAGGTTAATGTGTCTTAGCTATTCATTCACCCTGAACCCAGGAAATACACATTTCTACCTTTATCTTCCTGAGAAGTTCTTCAGCATCCTACATATTAGGAAAAATTCCTGTGCACATGATTTAGTTTCTTGCTGAGAAACACACATGGTTCTGTGTCAGAAATTATTAGCTGTAATATTGACCCTAGTCCATAACCCACCTTACTGCAGACATAAAAGAGTTGGTAAAAACCTTGGCCCTGACTTCCAGATTTAACAAAATATTAAAATAATCATTGCTATTTTCCTAGAAGCATGGAAAGGATACAATTAACTTTGAAAAAGAGAGTGCATCATTTGTAAGAGACAAAACAGAACATTGTGCAGCACTTCCATTATACTAAAACTATAGAACTTACTTTTACTCTTCAGCCGAGAGCCCAGGCAGAAGGCAACAGCCCTGCCAGATGCCACCGTGATGACATTCGGGGCAGAACACGGAAAGCCAGGGACTGGAAAGGAGAAACCCAAACGCACGATGGGTTAGAAACTGGTGACGTCAAATTGGTTTAATCAGGACTGAGGGATGTCACTGGCAGCCTTGCCCATTGATTTCAAGATGTTATTTCCCCGAATTACTCTCCTCATCTGCACTCTCGATCACCTTAAAGTCAACTTGTTCTTAGCTACTCATTGCCCTTGAAGCCAGGACATCCACATTTCTACGGCGGTCCTGCTTATAAGTTCTGAAGGATCTTATATGGTACGGAGAAGGTTCCTGTAAACGTGATCTCGCCTCCTGCTAAAGGAAAGCGGGAGGTTCGGTGCCCGTGTTAGGAATCGACAGCTGGGGTGTTAACCCTAGTCTCGCACCTGTCTTACAGCAGACCTGGAAACGTTGCTACATCGTTTCCTCTCTGTGTTAGGTCCTTAACAAAATGTTAAAAATACCCGTTTTGCTACTTTCCTAGAAGTATGGGAAGGATGAAGTTCACTTTGACAAAGCGAGTGTATGGTTTCTCAGAGACAAGACGGGACACTGCTCGGCACTTCCGTGACGGTGAACCTACAGAACTTACCTTCCGTCGTCAGCTGACAGGCCAGGGAGTAGACCACTCGACTCACGAGCAGTTTCTTTTTGCTGTCTCCGTATCTCCGCTCCTCATCGTCATCTTCTCGAGCGTCTGTAAACAAATTCAGAAGAGCGGGTCACAGGAAGCAAATGGCACTTCGCACAAGACCAAATCGGTGTCCAGTCATGGCACGAGGACGTAAAATAGTCTCAATGGAAGAATGCGATACTATGATGGGAATGGTCTCACGGGGCCCTAGATTCGGTTGCCTCAGAAGCAGATGAGCCTGCTTTTCAGATCCATGGGACAAAAATCTGTCTCATCTTGCAGATCTCGATCCCATATCCTCTGACTTAAGTCAGTGCAAACGATTAAAACTTTTACCCCAAAATCTTCACAACTTGCCCTGACTGCTTTCCAGAAGGGTTGCTGCAATACTCATCTAGCTCATCCTGTATCACGGCCAACGAAGGGTTAGAGAAATGTATACCGGAGACTGGACCGACCGACGTACTTTTTAACAAGCTCTCTACCTCAAAAAAGAATCTGTGGAGCCGGCATGGTGGCTCATGCCTGGAATCCCCGCACTTTAGGAGGTCTGGGAGGGCAGATCCCTTGACCTCAGGAGTTCGAGATCAGCCTGGCCAACGTGGAGAAACCCCGCCTCTGCATCAAACACAAACAGCAGCCAGGCGTGGTGGTGCCCACCGGGGGGCCCAGCTAATTGGGAGGCTGAGGCACCGGTACCAGGGTACTTCCTGCTCTTGATGGGGCCACTTACGCATACCACAGGTTCTACTCTCAGGAGCAGGATCCCCTTTCAGTTCCCCACAGGAGGTACCTCTCTGCTATCGCTGTGTTCCCCCCAGGGTCCCCAACACACAGCTTTGCCTGCTGGGCCTCGGCCGAAACCGGAACCACGTGCAAGTTCAGCAGCCTCAGACATTTGGACCAACAGACTCTAGATGCTACTCCTCTGCAGGATCTTGTACCGTACAGAGAGGACTCCTGTCAACATGGATTCAGCCTCTTGCTGAGAAAAACAGGTGGTTCCGCGCCTGCGTCAGGAATCCCATAGCTGGGATTGCGACCCCAGTCCCACACCCACCTTACTGCAGACGTGGAAAAGTTGCTAAACACTCTGGCCTCTGTCTTCCATCTTTAACCAAATGGTAAAACACCCATTTCTATTTTGTAGGAGTATGGGAAAGACGAGATTAACTTTGAGGAAGAGAGCGGTCAGTTTCTCGAGACGGGGCAGGACACGGTTCATCACTTTTGTGGAGGTGAACCTGTGGAACTCACCGTATGCCCTCAGCCCGTAGTTCAGGGAGTAGTCCACCTCACTCAGAAGACATCTATTTCGGCGGACTCCGACATCCGGTTTGTTATCTTCCCGCCGGGAGCAGGATTTCTCAATGGCTTCTGGAACGTTCACCCCTGGGATTCTTCCGGCAACAGCCCTGCCAGATGCCACCGTGATGACATTCGGGGCAGAACACGGAAAGCCAGGGACTGGAAAGGAGAAACCCAAACGCACGATGGGTTAGAAACTGGTGACGTCAAATTGGTTTAATCAGGACTGAGGGATGTCACTGGCAGCCTTGCCCATTGATTTCAAGATGTTATTTCCCCGAATTACTCTCCTCATCTGCACTCTCGATCACCTTAAAGTCAACTTGTTCTTAGCTACTCATTGCCCTTGAAGCCAGGACATCCACATTTCTACGGCGGTCCTGCTTATAAGTTCTGAAGGATCTTATATGGTACGGAGAAGGTTCCTGTAAACGTGATCTCGCCTCCTGCTAAAGGAAAGCGGGAGGTTCGGTGCCCGTGTTAGGAATCGACAGCTGGGGTGTTAACCCTAGTCTCGCACCTGTCTTACAGCAGACCTGGAAACGTTGCTACATCGTTTCCTCTCTGTGTTAGGTCCTTAACAAAATGTTAAAAATACCCGTTTTGCTACTTTCCTAGAAGTATGGGAAGGATGAAGTTCACTTTGACAAAGCGAGTGTATGGTTTCTCAGAGACAAGACGGGACACTGCTCGGCACTTCCGTGACGGTGAACCTACAGAACTTACCTTCCGTCGTCAGCTGACAGGCCAGGGAGTAGACCACTCGACTCACGAGCAGTTTCTTTTTGCTGTCTCCGTATCTCCGCTCCTCATCGTCATCTTCTCGAGCGTCTGTAAACAAATTCAGAAGAGCGGGTCACAGGAAGCAAATGGCACTTCGCACAAGACCAAATCGGTGTCCAGTCATGGCACGAGGACGTAAAATAGTCTCAATGGAAGAATGCGATACTATGATGGGAATGGTCTCACGGGGCCCTAGATTCGGTTGCCTCAGAAGCAGATGAGCCTGCTTTTCAGATCCATGGGACAAAAATCTGTCTCATCTTGCAGATCTCGATCCCATATCCTCTGACTTAAGTCGGTGCAAACGATTAAAACTTTTACCCCAAAATCTTCACAACTTGCCCTGACTGCTTTCCAGAAGGGTTGCTGCAATACTCATCTAGCTCATCCTGTATCACGGCCAACGAAGGGTTAGAGAAATGTATACCGGAGACTGGACCGACCGACGTACTTTCTAACAAGCTCTCTACCTCAAAAAAGAATCTGTGGAGCCGGCATGGTGGCTCATGCCTGGAATCCCCGCACTTTAGGAGGTCTGGGAGGGCAGATCCCTTGACCTCAGGAGTTCGAGATCAGCCTGGCCAACGTGGAGAAGCCCCGCCTCTGCATCAAACACAAACAGCAGCCAGGCGTGGTGGTGCCCACCGGGGGGCCCAGCTAATTGGGAGGCTGAGGCACCGGTACCAGGGTACTTCCTGCTCTTGATGGGGCCACTTACGCATACCACAGGTTCTACTCTCAGGAGCAGGATCCCCTTTCAGTTCCCCACAGGAGGTACCTCTCTGCTATCGCTGTGTTCCCCCCCAGGGTCCCCAACACACAGCTTTGCCTGCTGGGCCTCGGCCGAAACCGGAACCACGTGCAAGTTCAGCAGCCTCAGACATTTGGACCAACAGACTCTAGATGCTACTCCTCTGCAGGATCTTGTACCGTACAGAGAGGACTCCTGTCAACATGGATTCAGCCTCTTGCTGAGAAAAACAGGTGGTTCCGCGCCTGCGTCAGGAATCCCATAGCTGGGATTGCGACCCCAGTCCCACACCCACCTTACTGCAGACGTGGAAAAGTTGCTAAACACTCTGGCCTCTGTCTTCCATCTTTAACCAAATGGTAAAACACCCATTTCTATTTTGTAGGAGTATGGGAAAGACGAGATTAACTTTGAGGAAGAGAGCGGTCAGTTTCTCGAGACGGGGCAGGACACGGTTCATCACTTTTGTGGAGGTGAACCTGTGGAACTCACCGTATGCCCTCAGCCCGTAGTTCAGGGAGTAGTCCACCTCACTCAGAAGACATCTATTTCGGCGGACTCCGACATCCGGTTTGTTATCTTCCCGCCGGGAGCAGGATTTCTCAATGGCTTCTGGAACGTTCACCCCTGGGATTCTTCCGGCAACAGCCCTGCCAGATGCCACCGTGATGACATTCGGGGCAGAACACGGAAAGCCAGGGACTGGAAAGGAGAAACCCAAACGCACGATGGGTTAGAAACTGGTGACGTCAAATTGGTTTAATCAGGACTGAGGGATGTCACTGGCAGCCTTGCCCATTGATTTCAAGATGTTATTTCCCCGAATTACTCTCCTCATCTGCACTCTCGATCACCTTAAAGTCAACTTGTTCTTAGCTACTCATTGCCCTTGAAGCCAGGACATCCACATTTCTACGGCGGTCCTGCTTATAAGTTCTGAAGGATCTTATATGGTACGGAGAAGGTTCCTGTAAACGTGATCTCGCCTCCTGCTAAAGGAAAGCGGGAGGTTCGGTGCCCGTGTTAGGAATCGACAGCTGGGGTGTTAACCCTAGTCTCGCACCTGTCTTACAGCAGACCTGGAAACGTTGCTACATCGTTTCCTCTCTGTGTTAGGTCCTTAACAAAATGTTAAAAATACCCGTTTTGCTACTTTCCTAGAAGTATGGGAAGGATGAAGTTCACTTTGACAAAGCGAGTGTATGGTTTCTCAGAGACAAGACGGGACACTGCTCGGCACTTCCGTGACGGTGAACCTACAGAACTTACCTTCCGTCGTCAGCTGACAGGCCAGGGAGTAGACCACTCGACTCACGAGCAGTTTCTTTTTGCTGTCTCCGTATCTCCGCTCCTCATCGTCATCTTCTCGAGCGTCTGTAAACAAATTCAGAAGAGCGGGTCACAGGAAGCAAATGGCACTTCGCACAAGACCAAATCGGTGTCCAGTCATGGCACGAGGACGTAAAATAGTCTCAATGGAAGAATGCGATACTATGATGGGAATGGTCTCACGGGGCCCTAGATTCGGTTGCCTCAGAAGCAGATGAGCCTGCTTTTCAGATCCATGGGACAAAAATCTGTCTCATCTTGCAGATCTCGATCCCATATCCTCTGACTTAAGTCGGTGCAAACGATTAAAACTTTTACCCCAAAATCTTCACAACTTGCCCTGACTGCTTTCCAGAAGGGTTGCTGCAATACTCATCTAGCTCATCCTGTATCACGGCCAACGAAGGGTTAGAGAAATGTATACCGGAGACTGGACCGACCGACGTACTTTCTAACAAGCTCTCTACCTCAAAAAAGAATCTGTGGAGCCGGCATGGTGGCTCATGCCTGGAATCCCCGCACTTTAGGAGGTCTGGGAGGGCAGATCCCTTGACCTCAGGAGTTCGAGATCAGCCTGGCCAACGTGGAGAAGCCCCGCCTCTGCATCAAACACAAACAGCAGCCAGGCGTGGTGGTGCCCACCGGGGGGCCCAGCTAATTGGGAGGCTGAGGCACCGGTACCAGGGTACTTCCTGCTCTTGATGGGGCCACTTACGCATACCACAGGTTCTACTCTCAGGAGCAGGATCCCCTTTCAGTTCCCCACAGGAGGTACCTCTCTGCTATCGCTGTGTTCCCCCCCAGGGTCCCCAACACACAGCTTTGCCTGCTGGGCCTCGGCCGAAACCGGAACCACGTGCAAGTTCAGCAGCCTCAGACATTTGGACCAACAGACTCTAGATGCTACTCCTCTGCAGGATCTTGTACCGTACAGAGAGGACTCCTGTCAACATGGATTCAGCCTCTTGCTGAGAAAAACAGGTGGTTCCGCGCCTGCGTCAGGAATCCCATAGCTGGGATTGCGACCCCAGTCCCACACCCACCTTACTGCAGACGTGGAAAAGTTGCTAAACACTCTGGCCTCTGTCTTCCATCTTTAACCAAATGGTAAAACACCCATTTCTATTTTGTACGAGTATGGGAAAGACGAGATTAACTTTGAGGAAGAGAGCGGTCAGTTTCTCGAGACGGGGCAGGACACGGTTCATCACTTTTGTGGAGGTGAACCTGTGGAACTCACCGTATGCCCTCAGCCCGTAGTTCAGGGAGTAGTCCACCTCACTCAGAAGACATCTATTTCGGCGGACTCCGACATCCGGTTTGTTATCTTCCCGCCGGGAGCAGGATTTCTCAATGGCTTCTGGAACGTTCACCCCTGGGATTCTTCCGGCAACAGCCCTGCCAGATGCCACCGTGATGACATTCGGGGCAGAACACGGAAAGCCAGGGACTGGAAAGGAGAAACCCAAACGCACGATGGGTTAGAAACTGGTGACGTCAAATTGGTTTAATCAGGACTGAGGGATGTCACTGGCAGCCTTGCCCATTGATTTCAAGATGTTATTTCCCCGAATTACTCTCCTCATCTGCACTCTCGATCACCTTAAAGTCAACTTGTTCTTAGCTACTCATTGCCCTTGAAGCCAGGACATCCACATTTCTACGGCGGTCCTGCTTATAAGTTCTGAAGGATCTTATATGGTACGGAGAAGGTGCCTGTAAACGTGATTTAGCCTCCTGCAGAGGAAAGCGGGTGGTTCGGTGCCCGTGTTAGGAATCGACAGCTGGGGTGTTAACCCTAGTCTCGCACCTGTCTTACTGCAGACCTGGAAACGTTGCTACATCGTTTCCTCTCTGTGTTACGTCCTTAACGAAATGTTAAAAATACCCGTTTTGCTACTTTCCTAGAAGTATGGGAAGGATGAAGTTCACTTTGACAAAGCGAGTGTATGGTTTCTCAGAGACAAGACGGGACACTGCTCGGCACTTCCGTGACGGTGAACCTACAGAACTTACCTTCCGTCGTCAGCTGACAGGCCAGGGAGTAGACCACTCGACTCACAAGCAGTTTCTTTTTGCTGTCTCCGTATCTCCGCTCCTCATCGTCATCTTCTCGAGCTTTTGTAAACAAATTGAGAAGAGCAGGACACATTCAGCAATAATCACTTTAAACTAGAACAAGCCAGTGTCTTGTCATAGTAAAAGAATGTAAAATAGTCTCAATGAAAGAATGCGATACTATGATGGGAATGTTCTCACGGGGCCCTAGATTCGGTTGCCTCAGAAGCAGATGAGCCTGCTTTTCAGATCCATTTGACAAAATCTGTCTCATCTTGTAGATCTCGATCCCATATCCTCTGACTTAAGTCAGTGCAAACGATTAAAACTTTTACCCCAAAATCTTCACAAGTTCCCATGACTGCTTTCCAGAAGGGTTGCTGCAACACTCATCTAGCTCATCCTGTATCACGGCCAATGAAGGGTTAGAGAAATGTATACAGGAGACTGGATGGGCGGAAGTATTTTTTAACAAGCTCTACTTTAAAAAAGAATCTGTGGAGCCAGCATGGTGGATCATGCCTGGAATCCCCGCACTTTAGAAGGTCTGGTAGGGCAGATCCCTTGACCTCAGGAGTTCGAGATCAGCCTGGCCAACGTGGAGAAACCCTGCCTCTACATCAAACACAAACAGCAGCCAGGCACGATGGTGCCCACTGGGGATCGCAGCTAATTAAGAGGCTGAAGCACCGGTACCAGGGTATTTCCTGTCCTTGATGGATCCACTTACACACACCACCGGTTCCATCAAGATCAGGATCCCCTTTCAGTTCCTCACAGGAGGTACTGTCTGCTATCGCTGTGTTCCTCCCAGGGTCCCCAACACACAGCTTTGCCTGCTGGGCCTCAGCCGAAACCGGAACCAAATGCAACTTCAGCAGCCTCAGACATTTGGACCAACAGAGTAGATGCTACTTCTCTGCAGGATCTTGTACCGTACAGAGAGGATTCCTGTCAACATGGATTTAGCCTCTTGCTGAGAAAAACAGGGGGTTCCGTGCCTGCGTCAGAAATCCATAGCTGGGATTGCAACCCCAGTCCCACACCCACCTTACTGCAGACACGGAAAAGTTGCTAAACACTTTGGCCTCTGTCTTCCATCTTTAACCAAATGGTAAAACACCCATTTCTATTTTCTAGGAGTACGGGAAAGACGAGATTAACTTTTAGGAAGAGAGCGGTCAGTTTCTCGAGACGAGGCAGGACATCATTCATCACTTTTGTGGAGGTGAACCTATGGAACTCACCGTATGTCCTCAGCCGGTAGTTCAGGGAGTAGTTCACCTCACTCAGAAGACATCCATTTTTCTTGACGCCAACATCCGGTTTGTTATCTTCCCGCTGGGAGCACGATTTCTCAATGGCTTCTGGAACGTTCAGCTCTGGGTCTTTTCTGGAAGGAAGTTTACCGGAATCCACCCTGCTGTTTGGGTAACAATACAGAAAGCCAGGGACTGGAAAGAAGAAACCCAAGACATGGTGAATTAGAAACTGATGACGTCCAATTGGTTTAATCGGGACTGAGGAATGTCACTGACAGCATTGCCTATTGATTTCAAGAAGTTTTTTCCCCGAATTAATCTTCTCATCTGTGCTCTCGTTTACCTTAGAGTCAACTTGTCTTAGCTACTCATTTACCTTGAAGCCAGGACATAAATATTTCTACCTTGATCCTGTTTTTAAATTCTAAAGGATCTTATACGGTATGGATAAGATTCCTGTAAACATGATTTAGCCTCCTGCAGAGAAAAGCAGGTGTTTTGGTTCCTGTGTTGGAAATCAGTATCTGGGATGTTCACCCAATCTCACACCTGTCTTATTGCAGATGTGGAAAGTTGCTAAATAATTTTGCCTCTGTGTTACGTCTTTAAGAAAATGTTAACATACCAATTGGTACCTTCCTAGAAGTCTGGGAATGATAAAATTAAACTGAAGAAGAGAGTAGAGCAGTTGTCAGAGACAAGACAGAACACTGTCCAGGACTTCCGTAATGGTAAACCTACAGAACTCACCTTTCATCCTCAGCCGGCAGGCCAGGTAGTAGGCCACTTGACTCATAAGAAGTTTATTTTTGCTGTCTCTGTATTTTTGTTCATCGTGATCTTCTCGATCATCTGTAAACAAATTAAGAAGAGCAGGTCACATTAAGGAAATCGTACTTCACACAAGACCAAATCAGAGTCCTTTCGTAGCACAAGGACGTAAAATATTCTCAGTGTAAGGATGTGATATTCTGACAGGAACGTTCTAACAGGCCCGTGGTTAGGTTGCCTCAGTAGTATATGAGCCTGCTTTTCAGATCCATGGGACAAAGTCTCCCTTATCTGGTAGATCTTAAATCATGTATCCTCTTACCTAAATCAGTGCAAATAATTAAACCTTTTTTCCCAAATCTTCAAAAATTGCCCTAACTGCTTTCCAGAAGCATTGCTGCAATACCGAGTTATCTCATCATATATCATGGTCAATGAATGGTTAGAGAAATTTATATAGGAGACTGGACTGATGGATGAATCCTAACAACCTTTACTTAAAGAATCCATGGAGGCAGCCCAGTGTCTCACACCTGGAATTCCAGCACTTTAGTAGGCCCAGGGAGGCAGATCACATGACTTCAGGAGTTGAAGACCAGCCTGGACAACATGGTGAAACCCTGCCTCTACTAACAATACAAAAATTAGCCATTTATGGTGGTGCCCACCAGAAATCCCAGCTAATTGGAAGGCTGAGGCACCAGTACCAGGGTACTCCCTGCTCTTGATGGTGCCACATACACATACCACAGATGTTATTGGAGCGGATTCCCCTTCTAGCTCTCCACAGGAGGTATTGCGTGCTATCACCACATTTCCCCCAGTGTCCCCAGAACAGAGCTTTGCCTACTGGGCCTCAGAAAACCAGAAGCAAATGGAAGTGCAGTAGCCTTAGACATTTTGACCAACAGACTAGATGCTACTTGTCGGCAGGATTTATACTGTACAGAGAGGATTCCATTAAACATGGATTTGGTCTCTTGCTGAGAAAAACAGGTTGTTCTGTGCCTGCCTCAGAAATTGATAGCTGGGATTGTGACCCCAGTTGTACACCCACCTTACTGCAGACGTGGAAAAGTTGCTAACTACTTTGGCTTCTGTCTTCCATCTTTAACAAAATGTTAAAATACCCATTGCTAATTTCTACAGGTATGGGAAGAATGAAATTAATTTTGATGAAGAGAACTGTGAGTTTCTCAAACAACACAGGACATCATTGATCACTTTCGTGGTGGTCAACCTACAGAACCTACCGTCTGTCTTCATCCGGTAGTTCTGGAAGTAGGCCACCTGGCTCAGAAGAAGTCTGTTTTTGCTGGCTCCGACATTTGGTTTGTTTTCTTCCTGTTGTGAGCCGGATTTCTCAATGCCTTCTGGAACGTTCACCTCTCGGTTTATTCTAAAAGGAGGCCTGCCAGATGCCACCATGTTGACTTTTTGGGCACAACACAGAAAGCCAGGGACTGGGGAGAAGAAACCCAGACACATAATGGGTTACAAACTGGTGGTTTAATCAGGACTGAGGGATCTCACTGACAGCCTTGCCTATTGCACATGGTGTTTCCCTGCTTTTACTCTTCTTATCTCCACTCTTGATCTCCTTAGAGTCAACTTGTCTTAGCTAATCAGTCACCCTGAAACCAGGATATAAACGCTTCTACCTTTATCTTGCTTAGAAGTTCTGAAGGATCCTATGTCTTAGAGAGAATTCCTGACAACGTGATTTAGTCTCTTCCTGAGAAAAACAGGTGGTTCTGTGCCTGTGTCAGGAATCGTTAGCTGCGTTATTAACCCTAGTCCGACACCCACCTTACTGCAGATGTGGCAGCGTTGCTAAATGCCTTGGCCTCTGACTTCCATCTTTACCATAATGTTAAAATACCCATTGCTATTTTCCTAGTAGTATGGGAAGGATTAAATTCTTTGCAGACGAGAGTGTGTAATTTCTCAGAGATAAGACAGGAGATTGTTCAACACTTCCGTGATGGTGAACCCATGGAACTTACCTTCCGTCTTATGCCGGCAGCCCAGGTAGTAGGCCACTTGACTCAAAAAAAGTTTATTTTTGCGGTCTCTGTATTTCTGTTCTTCATCGTCATCTTTTCCATCTTCTATAAAAAAATCAGAAAAGCAGGTCACATTAAGCAAATCAAACTTCACACAAGACCAAATCAGTGCCCAGTCATAGCACAAGGACTTAAAATACTCTCAGTGTAAGAATGTGTTACTCTGACCGTAATGTTTTAATGGGCCCTAGACTAAGTTGCCCTAGAAGTGGATGAGCCTGCTTTTCAAATGCATGGGACAAAATTTCCCTAATCTGGTAGATCTTAATCACTTATCATCTGACCTAAGCCAGTGCAAAAATTAAAACGTTTCACCCAAAATCTTCCAAAAATTGCCCTAAATACTTTCCAGAAGCATTGCTGCAATACTGATTTATCTCATCATATATTATGGTCAGTTAATGGATACAGAAATTTATATAAAAGACTAGACCAACTGATGAATTGTAACAACCTTTCCTGAAAACAGAATCTGTGGAACCACCATGGTGGCTCTTGCCGGGAATCCGAGCAATTTAGGAGGCACAGCAGGGCAGATCCCTTAATCTCAGGAGTTCAAGACCAGCCTGGCCAACATCATGAAACCCCACCTCTACTAAAAATACAATAGTAAGCCAGGTGTGCTGGTGCCCACCGGAAATCCCAGCTGATTGGGAGGTTGAGACACCAGTACCAGGGTACTCCCTGCTCTTGATGATGCCACTTAAACATACCACAGGTTCTATTAGCAGCAGCGTCCCCTTCAAACTCCTCACAGTGGGTACTGTCTGCTGTCACTGTGTTTCCCCCAGTGTCCCCAGAACACACCTTTGCCTCCTGGGCCTCAGCAGTCTCCGGAACCTAATGGAAGTTCAGTAGCCTCAGACATTTAGACCAACAGACTGGATGCTACTTGTCTGCAGAATCTTATACGGTACAGAGAGGATTCCCGTAAACAGGATTTAGCCTTTTGCTGAGAAAAACAGGTGGTTCTGTGCCTGGGTCAGAAATCAAGAGCTGGGTTTGTAACCCCAGTCCCTCACCCACCTTAATACAGACGTGGAACAGTTGATAAATACTTTGGCCTCTGTCTTCCAACTTTAACTCAATGTTAAAATACCCATTGCTATTTTCTACAAGTATGGGAAGCATGAAATTAATTTTGATGAAGCGAACCGTTAGTTTCTAGAGACAAGACAGGACGTCACTCAACAGTTTCATGGTGGTGAACCTATACAACTTACTGTCTGTCTTCAGCTGGTAATTCTGGAAGTAGGCCACCTGGCTCAGAAGAAGTCTATTTTTGCTGTCTCTGAAACTCGGTTTGGTCTCTTCCTGCTGGGTGAAGGAATTCTCAACGATATCAGGAAAGTTCACCTCTGTGGTTTGCCTGGAACACGCCCTGCCAGGTGCCGCCATGGTGACATTTGGGGCACCCAGGCACAGCCAGGGACTAGGGAGAAGAAACCCAAACACAGGATGGGTTAAAAACTGGAAATCAAATAGGTTTAATCAGGACTGAGGAATTTCAATAACTCAAATTCCTAACTTACTGTTCAGAAAAACGATCCCTCCTCACACAATTTTAGGGTCCTTAACTGCCAAAACAATGTAGGAAACGCTTGAGCTCAGAGCTGAAGGTGCTGCCTCTAGCTCAGACTCTGACAAGAGTGTGGGAGACAGGGCCAGTTTCCCAGGTAACGGTCTGCTGTTGCAATAATAGAATTATAAGCTGGGCGTGTCATGGAATCTTCGTTCCAACTGCCCAAGGTTTGCTAAAACACAGGCCTCCTGGTCTCACCTGAGCTCACAACCAATGGGGAACCGTTCCTCTAACTGTCACTCTCAGTATTTGTGTACCCTTGTGATGATGCCACAGTCCCATCTCATTCCCAATATATCTAAGCATGTGCCTCATTTTTTCATCTCTTCTGTGTATAAAATCAAGGCAGAAACAGTTTCCCAACATATGATATTTTCTTAATGCTAGAAATGAAGTCAGTCATCACTCCTTCTCATATGTTAAAACAGAATTGGAGGCTTTTCCACGAGTTTAACATATCATCCTATTACACTGCCATGAAATCCTCTGACTTTTCTGCATTTTTTCTGTATCCACTAGAGACTGAATGAGGAATTCATTTTTTTAATGAATTAAAATGCTTTCTTTCCTGGCTCAGTATTCCTCTTGCTGCATCCCATGGTTATGCTGATTTGTATTTTCTTACCATCAGATATCACTACACTGATATTTAAGGCAGAAGAGACTTTTCATTACACTTAAGACCAGTTCCATGACCCTATATCCAAAGCTTCCTCTGTGTGGGATGATTGGTTTTCTAAGGTGACTGAACACTGCATCTCATTTTTGTCACTTATAAATGGCAATTTAGTCCCAGAAGAGCTCTTTTCAAGGTGTCAAGTCATCAAAATCATTTCTATAGAGATCTCCTGAAAGCGTATGTGACCATCTATCTTGGGAAGTCTGGGAAACCTGGTATAATTTTGTTGTTTTCATTTCATGTTGTCCACATATTGAAAACAACAGGGCCATGAGCGGTCCTTATGGAATACTGTTTGACACATATTGTTCTGAGTTGGTCTAATGCCATTGATGTGTGGTTGCACCCCACTAACCAAACATGGTAAGATCAAGGTGATGGTCAGGGGTCCTCCGTGTTGCTGTGCAGTAGAAGGTGAATTGGAGATGACAGGACCGAGTAGGAAGAGTGATCCCTGAGCCTCCTCCTCACTTTCTCAGCTTTCATCGCCACCCAGGTTTTGGAGCCTGGGACTTGGGAGGCTGTTCTGTAGCCCAGGTCTCCTATGTTTGGCTGCTTCCTGGGCTTGCTGAGTCGTGGGTGCAATGGGTGTGACCCTGGGCTGCCCAGCATTCATGTGGAAGTGAAGCAAGGAGGACTGGATCGATCCCATTGCAAAGCGTGCCTCTCTACAGCCCCCATCATCCTCCAGCAACACTGTGAGCACACCGCTTAGAGATACATCAAAGGCTTTATGTATATACATGTTCTGGTGTCTGGGAGGCCTGACATTCTCTGGCAGAAGCAAAATGTGTCAGGTTTCTTCATTATAAAAATGATGAAGCTGCAGGTTCACAAAGTTATGTGGCTTGCTTCAGGTCACACAGGGATGAGTTTTGAGCAGTGCCAATAAAAGCAATCACAAGAATTATTCCATGATTCATAGGATCCATGTCATTTGGTAAATATTCATATAATTATTCACTAATTATTTGTTGGCCAATCTCTACCAGGCATTTTGCTCAAAACTGTGCACATATTTGGACAGTATATGTTCTTCAGAATCCTCAAGGTAACGCTGTTATCCTAAGAATCAGGTAAGAAACCTGAACAGGAGGGCTAGCAAATCATGAATTTGGCCATATTTCCATTTTCTGGTTTCTGTGATGCTGGACAAATGACCAGAATGAGTCACCGGAAGAATATTCATCCCTGTATCATTTTCCAGGACACAGATGTGTCCTCCAAGTATATTGGGACCAAAATTCACAAGTGTCTGCAACCTTGCTTTAACAGCATGGAAAATAACCTCTATTTTTCATGGAATAAGACCTGGAATTTCCCTGGACCTTTGGAATATACAAGAGAAGGTCTGTAATATCTTTGTCTGTCCCCATCAGTGCCACTCAGTTCTCCCAGTATGACCTGGCCATGCCCCTGCACTTACCCTCATCCTGCCCAACCATCTCCATGCACCGTCCAATTCCATCAGGGATTCAGGCTCCTCCCAAGGCTCCCTGAAATAGGTACAGGTCTCAGGACATCACACACATTCCAGGCACAAAAGCAGCCCACACTGTAAAGCGGGCGGCTGTGTTCCCGCTTCCCTGTAGTTGGCAGTGATGTCCTAGGACAGGAAGAAACGCTTTCTCTTGTTAAGGGGTCTCTTCTTCATGTCTCAGGGCCTCTGATCTAGTGAACACAACTGTCCTGAATGTGAATGAACTTGCTAAATTCCTGGTTTCTTGCTAGGTGGCCAGAGTACATTTGTACGACTTCCTTACTTCCCCATGTTTGCTGAAGTCTGAATTCTTACCAGAATGATTCCTTTTCTTGTAAGAAGTAGTTTAGGGAAGATTGGCCCCATTGCCATGCAAAGAGAGGTAAAGTGAATTTCTACTCAAAGCAAACTTAAATTTGAAACTAGACCTTCCACTGTTTCAAAGCTGGCCTGTAGGTCCAACTGTCACATATTTGGACATCATATCTTCATCAGAATCCTCAGGCATGTGTCCTCAAAAGCTAGTGTGTCTGCGGTACTCAGCATAAAGTTACTTTTCATTATGATAAGTTATATTAACTTGCCACAAAATAAGTCATTATAAAGATAAAGGTATTTATCATTATGGCAAGGACAAATTTTGTGTTTTTTTTTGAGACGGAGTTTCGCTCTTGTTAACCAGGCTAAAGTGCAATGGTGCTATCTCGGCTCACCGCAACTTCCGCCTCCTGGGTTCAGGCACTTCTCCTGCCTCAGCCTCCTGAGTAGCTAAAATTACAGGCACGCGCCACCATGCCCAGCTAATTTTTTGTATTTTTAGCAGATACGGGGTTTCACCATGTTGACCAGGATGGTCTCGATCTCTTGACCTCGTGATCCACCCACCTTGGCCTCCCAAGGTGTTGAAATTACAGGCTTGAGCCACCGTGCCCGGCCCGGCAAAAACAAATTTAGAAGAGGTATTAAATTTACTTATTTTCCCAGCTGGAAACAGTCCATAGCTACTGATATCATCAGTGTCCTCTGAATACCTTGGCTGTGTTAACTGCTTTGACTCACCATGGAGCTGAGGTGTTGGTGTACTGTATGTCAAGATGCTGAAATATGGCTGAAGTCCAGGGTCACTGGCCCAGGACATCCACTGAGGTCATCTCATGAGAACTGGGCCACGACTTCCACCATCACTACACGTCTCATGAATCACCAGTCACTAGACTGAGAACTCTGTGAAACCTGGGATCCTATTTTACTCACCTCTGTGGTCATGATCCTTAGCTAAGGGCCCAGCACAGAGGGGCCTCTCAGCAGTGTTCATCCATGACTGAATAAAATAAATTACAAACCTCCAACCCTTTCACCTACATTTCTGTCCCCAATGTCTTGTAAGGGATGCTCTTTCTCTCAGAATGCTGCAAATCCCCTTCCCTAGAGAGGTGCCTGCCCTACACCATCCCTGCCGCAGGATCCTCTCCTGTGGGAGCTTCAGGGAAGACTAGTCTGTCCTGAAAATGTTCTCTTATGCCTCCCCCGTCATTAGGAGTAATGTCCTTTGACATACACTCCCGTCCTCCGGGCTGCCACAACACCTCAGTTGGGTAGCACTACCATGTCTTGTTGAAATGATCTGTTGGTGTTCTTCCACTCACTGGCTTGAGTTTCTTTAGAGAGACATTAAATACCTGAATCCCAAGTGCTTAGCACAGTACAAAGAAAATTAAATACTCAATAAATATTTGAGAAACTTCCCTCAACTGAATGCGCTGAGGAATATTATTAGTATCACTGCTTCATATACAAGCAAGGGATACTTACACTGGCACCTGACCTAGGGCAGAGCTGTTTGATGTAAGAATGGACATCTCCAACCCTTCTCCACGCATGGTTATTCCCTCTAACTCACACTGACCTGAAGAGCATCCACTGCTACAGCAGCACCGATCCTGATGCTCCTGGGTCTGGGGAGTGTTCATCCATGACTGAATAAAACTGATTACAAACCTCTGAACCTTTCTTGGAGTTCAAGCTGCCCCTCATTATAAACCAGCTCTGATCTAACCTGTGGCTCTCCCTGGCCAGAGGCAGGAGATTCCTGTCAAATAAGTTTCTCTCAGTCCCCACTGCTCAGCTCACGCTGCTCCTTGAGGGTTTAAATCATCATAGCCATTGCCCATTTCCCCTCAGGCTTCTGTCCTGCTCTGTCCTTATTCTCCCCTTCTTTCGTTTTTATTTACCAATGGCTTCTCCTTTGTGGATTATTCTCATCCCCTAAACCTGCTGACTTTCTTTCTTCCACCTGTTCCCCCAGCTCTGGGATTCCAGCGTGTAGGCTCAGCTCAGGCTCCTGCAGGAGACACACAGAGTCAGGTCTCAGCTGAAGCTCCCAGGCAGTATTGAAAAGCATCTCAATTCCTCAGAAGCTCAGAGAAAACAGAGCAGGAAGGGACCTCAGAGAGGTACAATAAGCCTCTACCTTACTGATGAGGACACACTGAAGCCCGGAAACACGGAGACTCTCCCAGGCTCCCTCCCTCACCACTTGGCAGCAGATCCACCACACAAGTCTTGGCCTCAGCCTCCCTGTGCAGAGCAGGTAACTCACCCTCCAGAAGCTCACTGCTGCCATTCGAAAAACTTTAGATCAAAAAGAGGAATTTCCACTGTCAAAAAAAAAAAAAAACGGAAAAAGCCCCTTTCCTTGGACAAACCCTCTATCACAGTTCTACAATCCTGGCCTTTATACTTGGTCAGTTGTCATTCACTGGCTGCTAGACTGGGGCAGGGAGCACATAGGATTAAATAGTGTTTCACACAACCCTGCTTTCCCGGCCTGGGCTCCACTCTTCTTCAGAAACTTTCTGCTGCTGTATCTGCTGGAGAGTCCAGGCCCTCCTGTGGGTCATTTCTCCATGAAGATCCCTGTTATTTTCTTCCTCTCTTAAAGATAGAAAGGGCAGAGATTGGTTCTGGGACTCCATAGTCTTAGGTTTTCTCCTAAGTCAGCCAGGGCAGCTGAAAGCAATCATGACTGAGAGCGGTCAGGTGAGTGAAGAGGAGCACGGGCTCACAAGGACATCCTCTCGTGAAGATGGTCGGGACCGTGACACAGGAAATGTCTGACCAATTCTGAGGGGGAAGATGCAACAATAATTAAGTGGAAAATGCTGCTATGAGGAGAAAAAGGAAGAACCAAAAGAGCAGGGGGAGAAGGAAAATAAAATGTTTTCCATAATGATAGTAAAACATGCAGAGCCCGGAGGCAAAGCCCCCTGTCACAGACGGTTAGTTCCAGGCTGTGGAGCCTAATGAAGAATTTCTGGCTGGACTTTGCTCAGCTCCAGGTCAAAATGGTTTTGGATCAGTGACTTTGTTCCCTCCACTTTCCCTCTTTTTAAACAAGAATCACTAGCAGTGTTATTCTGTGACTGTCCCACCATTGCACACTGAGGACAGATAAGCTGTTTGATCCGTTTCACAGGTCAACAGGGGTAAGGGAATTATATCAAGGATCTGTACTTGGGCTGGGCATGGTGGCTACCTGAAATCCTAGCACCTTGGGAGGCTGAGTGGGGATGGCCCCTAAGGTCAGGAGTTTCAGACTAGCCTGGACAACAGGGAAAAACCCCATCTCTACTAAAAATACAAAAAAATTAGCTGAATGCAGTGCTGCATGTCTGTATCCCCAGCTACCCCAGAGGCTGAGTCAGGAGAATCGCTTGAACCCAGGGGGCAGAAGTCGCAGTAAGCCAAGATCGCACCACTGCACTCCAGCATGGGTGACAGACCAGGACTCGCTCTCAAATAAAAGGAATCTGTACTTAATGGACACCCTCAGAAGCCTCATTCACACTTGGTGCAGATGATTTAAATGAGATTTTAAACTTCTGATCACATTAAAGCTACATGACATTGTTCACTTTCCCCTAATGAATTAATGACATGAAACTTGGAAACCTCAGGTGAGAGGGTCAGTGTATTTTGCATCTGTGAGAATGTGAATGTCTGGGGACCTGAAGTTGAACTGTGATAGGTGGAATTTCTAAAATGGTCTCCAAACATGTTGTACCCTTATCTGTGGAACCTGTTAAAGTGATGAGATATTCCTGTGATTACTTTGTTACATGGCAGTCATATGACTTTAAAGAGTGATATGGTTTGGCTCTCTGTCCCCACCCAAATCTCATGTTGAATTATAATCCTGAGTGTTAGAGTGGGGCCTGGCAGGAGGTTACTGGATCCTGGGGATGGTTTCTAATGGCGTAGCACCATCCCCCAAGTGCTGGTGCATGATAAGTTTCCATGAGATCTGGCTCTTCAAAACTATGTAGCACTTCCCCTTTCTCTCTCTCTCTCTGTCTCTCTCTCTCTCTCTCTCTCCTGCCAGCCCACAGAACCATGACCTAATTAAATCTCTTTATAAATCTCAGCCTCAGGTCATTATAGCATTACAAGAACAGACTAATACCAAGCCTGAGCTTTCCTGAGTGGGCCGGATCTAATCACACCCCTCCCTAAGAGTCACAGATTTCTCTAGTGGGTAGAAGACAAAGTCAGAGAGACGATGGGAGCTGGAGAATTCCATGAGCTGTTGTTGGTTGGAAGATAAGGAAAGCGAGAAAGAATGCAGGTGGCCTCTGGAATCAGAATGTCTTCAGGCTGAGAGCCAGCAGGAGGACTGCAAAAGGATGTCAGTCCTCCACCCACAAGAAGAGGATTCTGCCAATACATCTCTAGTGAACTTGGAAGAGTAGCCTGAGCTCTAGATGAAAAACACAGGCAGCACATAACTGGATTTCAGCCTAAGACCCCCATCAGAGAACCCAGTCATTCCTGATTACTGTGGTTTCAAACAACTAACTTGTTATACTGTGTTAATAGGTAGCAACAAAAACTAGTTACAGGTGCCTAACTGTACTCTTTTTATATTTTCACATACATGTATGCAAATCCCTATAGGCACAAAAAAGAAAAAGAAGCAAAAAACTACAGTAAAATGTGATGCTTACCTTTACGGGAGCACTGCAAGGGCTGTACCGGAGCCCTTGCAACTTGAAGATAACGTAGGCCATTTCAGGCAGGTGAGAAGCGTCTCTTCAATGTTACCAACCCAATCTGTGAAAGTAAAAAGATGGTAAAATACTTAACTGACAGCCTGGTGTGGTGGCTCACACACGTAATCCCAGCACTTCGGGACGCTAAGGTGGGTAGATCACCTGAGGTTGGGAGTTCAAGACCAGTCTGACCAACATGGACAAACTCTGTCTCTACTCAAAATACAAAATTAGCTGGGCATGGTGGTGCATGCCAGAAATCCTTAGCAACTGAAAGGCTGAGGCACAAGAATCAATTGAACCCTAGAGGTAGAAGTTGCAGTGAGCTGAGATTGCACATAGCACTCCAGCATGGTGGCTCATGCCTGTAATCCCACCGCTTTGGGAGGCCAAAGCGAGCAGATCCCCTGAGGTCGGGAGTTCAAGAAGAGCCTGACCAAGATGGAGAAACCCCGTCTCTACTAAAAATACAAAATTAGCTTGGCGTGGTGGTGGGTGCATGCCTGTAATCCCAGCTACTCGGGAGGCTGAAGCAGGAGAATTGCTTAAATCTGGGAGGCAGAGGTTGCAGCGAGCCAAGGTCGCACCATTGCACTCCAGCCTGAGCAACAAGAGCGAAACTCTGGCTCAAAAAAAAAAATCAAAAAACAAAACTTAACTCGGCATAATATTATCTGCAAATTCATCATCTACATTTCTAATCGAAGATTTTCTTTTAGATCTTTCACTCATGCTCACCAGACAAGGTTTGATAGCAACTGTCTGACACCAGCAAAGATGAAGCAATTCAAGGAGAGCAATGAACAGGATACCACTAAGTTTCCCCGAATAAAGTCCTTAGAATAAAAAAATCCTCTAGTTGCCATAAGAGTAAGACGATGGTCCATTATATGAAATTCCAATATAATAAAACCTTAAATGTAATGTTGTCTGTCTGTCTTCCAAATTTTAATTTTGTTCAGGCTCCGCCATCGTGAACAGAAATTGGAAAATGACTGCAAAGAGGCTCTGGGGAACCTGGGGAGGGAAGAAATGGATTCTAAAGAGGGGAATGAGGTGACGGCTGCAAAATTCTATGTCTACTTAAATTATTAAATTCTACATTTACGATTAGTGACTTTTATTGTGAGTAACTTCTTAAATGATATTTCTGGTTTCTACTCCAACTTGTAAGGAGCCAGGAGGTCACCACTTGTGTCCTTACAACTAGAAAAAAGCTGAAAAAACTGAAAAATTTCAACCCTTATTAGAGGGACTAGAGGAGAAATCACAGGGCAAATTGCCATGCTGAAAACCAGACAGACAGGCAAACACAGGGAACAGAAGCTGCTGAAGCCAGCAACTGGAAGGAGCTCTTCAATGGTACTCACAGATTCCTAGAAGCTGACGGAGGCCTGGCTTGAGCATTAAAAACTCCTTGGGGCTCAGATTTAGTGGGGATCTCACACTTTTCTAAGTGTTACCACAGAGCCCAACCAGGTTCTCATAGTAAAGATCAGAAAAATCCCCAGAGAACTGACACTGCCGACTTCAGTACTAATTATAAAGCTACAGTAACCAAACTGTGGAAATGGTGAAGAAAGAAAACACAAACAGGTCACTAGGAAACAATACAGAGCTCAGGAATAGACCTACACAAACACTCAACTGATCTTTGAGGAAGGCACAAAGGCAATTTAACAGGGAAAGGACAGACTTTTCCACAAATGACACTAGAATGACTAGACATCCACATGTGAAAAATAAATAAATCTAGGCACAGATTTTACACCTTCCACAAAACAGATCTTACACCTGAATGTGAGGTGCAAAACTCTAAGACTCCTGGATGATCACACAGGGGAAAATCTGGGCGACGTTGGGTTTGGTGATGACTTCTCAGATACGATGCCAAAAGCACAATCCAGGAAAGAAAAAATTGAAAGCTTCAACTTTATTAAAATAAAAACGTCTTCTCTGTGAAAGACATTGTTAAGGAAATGAATAAACAAGTGACAGACTGGGGGAAAAATATTGGCAAAATACAGATCTCATGAAAGACTGGTGTCCAAAATATATAAAGAACTCTTATTTTACCGTTTTTCTTTCCTTTTTCTTTTTAAAGAAACGGGGTCTCGCTATGTTGCCCAGGCTGGAGTGCAGGGGCTATTGACAGGTGCGATTCCACTACTGATCAGCAGGGGAGTTTGGACCTGCTCCATTTCTGACCTGGGCTGGTTCACCCCTCCTTAGACAACCTGGTGGTCCCCCACTCCCAGGAGGTCACCATATTGATGCCGAACTTAGTGCAGACACCCGATCAGCACAGCGCACTACAGCCCAGAACTCCTGGGCTCAAGCGATCCTCCCACCTCAGCCTCCCAAGTAGCTGGGACTACAGGCATGTGCCACCGCGCCCGGCTATAAAGGACTACTAAAACACAATAATAAAAAAGCAAACAACCCAATTTAAAAATGGGCAGAAGATCTGGATACTTCACCAGAAAAGACATATGGATGGCAACTAAGCATATGAAACAGATGCTCAAAGTCATGTGTCACTAGGAAATTGCATATTAAAACAATGAAATACCACTATACGATAATATATACCTAATAGGAAGGCTCAAATCCAAAGAAGTGACAATACCACAGGCTGGCAAAGATGCAGAGCAACATGAACTCTCATTTGTTCCTAGTGGAAATGCAAAATGCTAGTTACTTTGGAAAACAGTTCGGCAGGCTTTCTTACAAAGCTAAACAGTCTTCCCATATAATCCAACAAATAGCAGTTTTAGATATTTACCAAAGTCATGTTAAACTACGTTCACTCAGAAACTTGCATCCAAGTATTTACGACAGTTTTACTCATACTTGTCAAACACTGGAAGTAACCAAAATGTCCTTCACTGAGTGAATGGCTAAACAAACTGTGGTATATCTGTACAAGAGAATGTGATTCAGTGATACATGAAATGAGCTATCAGGCCATGAGAAGACATGGAGGAACTTTAAATGCACAATGCTAGGAAGAAACTAGTCTAAAGACTCTACACACTGTATGATTCCAACACTAGGACATTCCAGGAAAGTCAAAATGGTAGAGACAGTGAAATGATCTCTGGTTTTCACTGTGGTTTTCAGCAGTAAATCTCTTCTGTGTGATACTGTACTGGGGATTCAGGACATTAGGTAATTGTCAAAACTTATAACTATAAAACTCAAAACAATGAACCGCAATGTAAACTATGGAGTTGAGTTGATAACAATGTTTCAATATTGATTAATCAATTGTAAATATGTATCACACTAATACAAGATACTCATGATAGAGGAAATCGTGTGCTACGGGACAAGGGAGAATAGGGGAATTCCCTGTACTTTCACAAGCCAAGCAGCTACAGCCAAATGACAAGACTCCCTGTCTAACGCCCTCACCACTAGATGGCTGAGCCTGGCTGGGGAAGACTATGCTGTTGCCAGGTATCCCGCCAGAGTTCAGCCTGACTGCGAGCTGTGCAGGGAGCCATAGTGTGCTCCCCAGGAAAGAGTTATCTATGAACTGACAACTGAGAGAACCGGGGTCTACACACCCTTCCTTGCAGGTCACCATGTCAGAGGTGAGACAAATGATTCAAGAATAATGGCAAAGCAGGTTGTTTTTCACCTAAGAAACCCCAACAGCAGCTCAGCAGCTCAGTCAGCACCTTCCCTCCGAAAACAGTGCTCCTCCCTGCATTTGGCAGGCACCAGAGTACAAGGTGTGCAGGTCTGGAAACTTCTAGGCAATTCTGCTCCTTCCTCTCCCTATGGCCGAGAGCTCAGCAGCAGCAGCCCGCAGATTCTTCCTGTTCTTTCTCAAATGCATACCTTCCCACCCACCCTCACCACCATCATTCCAGTGTGGACCTCCCTCATCTCCTGCCCCTATTTGCTCCCAGCTCCACCCCATTCTCTCATCACAGCTGCTCCCTACTCCACAGCTGGCCGTGGTTCCTCCCTCTGTGATCTCACTGTGGCTACCATTGAAGATTTTAGCCTAGAATGCAAGAGCATCTATAATCTAGCCCTCATCCCTCACCCAGTACCTCTTTCTAGCCACTCTTGCTGTTCCTCCAATGTGTCCTGTGCACGCTCCCCTCAGCATCTGCCCTCATGTCACTCCTCCCCACTGCGCTGCTCTTCTCTCAGCCCTGTCCCACACGCTCAGTCAATGCCTATCAAAACTGACCCAACCTGCAAAGTTCACTTCAAATCCCATGTCACCTATGAAGTTATTCTTAAGGATCCAGCGAAGAGGAAGCCTGCTGCTCTGAAGTCTCCTGTGCAGCACGGGCCATACACGCTACCTCGCCGCAGCGCTAGTTGTGAACACTTCTCATGTCCCTTCCCAGATTGCGGTTATGTTCCCAAGCAGCTGTCATCGCTGTGGCTCTACCAAGGGTAAGGGAGAGTAGAATGAATTTACTTAAAAGTCAACTAATTAAACTGGTGGCAAGAAAGGAGGCTTTGAGACTAAGCTCATCTGGGTTCCAATAGGGCTAGCTCAGTGCCCTTAGAGAAGTTATGTAGCCTCTCGGAGCTTCCTTTCCACATCTGAAAACAGACTGGGTATCTATTTTACAAAGCTTTTGTCAGAATTACAGAAAATATATGTCAACCACCATAAATTATTACTATCATCATAGCACCAATCAACCTAAAATATTTCTTGGGGTCATCACAAGAAACAGATAACATGAGACAGAACTTTGTAGAATATAACATTATTGTGTTAATTTTTAATAAGAAGACTTGGAGTACATTTGTGTTCTATATCATATGACCAACATAGACCTCGCAGATGCCCCACTAATCACCAGCCAGTACATCCTCCAACAGCTAACCACTTTGGCTTTCAGAATATCTGTGCTCAGAACTGTTAGAATGAATTTACTTAAAATCAGCCAATAAGACTGGTGGAATCCTATGCCCAAACGGAGGTTTTGCTCCATATGGTACCAGACACTAATTCAACTTAAAATCTGTTTTCATCTTTTTTATTTTTGACATCTTGCACACAGAGCATTACTTTTCTCACTGCTCAAGCCCAGACAAATGCTATCGAAAGCAAGAGAAAATGGGGTGGGGTGTCAACCTAAATCACAGCCTCCATCTCAAGCCAACGGGGTCATCTTTCAGGCCCCACATTCGGTCCTCTGCTTTCCAGCCAAGGCTTCCTGCCTGGGGCACTCAAGAGAAAGCAAACCCCACTGCTGAGCTACTCCCACTGTGGCCACCAGAGGGTCCCCACAGCATTAGCTACAAAGCAAGGACACACCCTTTCCCAGTAAATTGACCATTTTAAATATTATCCAGACAGCCTTACAGCAGCCTCCCCAGCTTCCAGCCAACAGAACTGCCCAGAAACTCCACAGCTAGCTGCTGCTAATACTGTTGAGCCATCAGTTCCTACCAAGCAGCCAGCATTTCACAAGGGGTTTGAGTCACTGGGGTCCCAGAGTCCAATTTCTGTGGGTCTGAGCCCTCCCCAGCCAGATTCTAGTATCATCAATGAACAAAGAGTATCTGTGGCTTCAGTAACTGTTTCCCTTTGACACAGCATCTGAATTTTTGCCTGGAACACCACTTGCTCTCAAGTTTCAACACAGAAAGGGGAAATGCAGCTTATCAGACTGGCAGACCACAGCCCATGATGGGCAGGTCATGTCTTGCAGAATTCTGCCCTGGTGCCAAACACTGGGATTCAGACATGCTGCTGTTCCATTCTGCCTGCTGACTTCACTGAAGGTGCAGAGTAAGTTGCTTCCTCCTTGGGAAAGGACATGTCCAAGATCACACAGCCAATGAGTGGCAGACAAAATGTAATTTGCTCCCAAGCCTGTCTGAAACTCCATAGTTGTTTTATTTTTTCCATTGCTAACAAAAAGTGTTGCCCAGATCCCTGAAGCTAAGTTGTACTTCCTCTCACCCTCATCCCACGCCACACCCGCCTTGCTACAGACACACTGGCCGTTTTTCAATTCCTCTATCAAACCCAGCTTCTCCCCATCTCTGGGTCTTTACATGGGCTCTTCCCTCCCCTTGGAATATTTCCGCCCACGCCTCCTTTATTTGCAACCATAGTTTCTCTTCTTCCTCTAAGTCTGGGTTTAACTATTCCCTTCTCAGAACAGCCTTTCCTGGTTTCCTTCCTAGAACGGGTCCTTCACTTCTCTTACTCAGATTCCTCATTTCCCATGATGGCACTCATCACAAACGTACCGATTTTTTCTGTTAGTTTCATTTCCCCCCTATTTCTATTTTATTTCCCTTCCTGAGGTAGGGGGTGGAACCTGACACTAAAGGCGGAGCTCAGACACCAGACCAAATTGAGGACTAGCTAAAACAAGGCTTGGGCAAAAGCGACTTTCAATCAGACATGCCCATTAGTGTGGAATGTCAATTTACCATTGCCATGGCAACACCCAGGCAGTTATCACTCCTTTCCACGGCAATGACCCAATGACCTGAAAGTTACTACTGCTTCCCCTAGAAATTTCTGCATAAACCACCCCTTAATCTGTATGCAATTAAAAGTGGGTTATAGAAATATGACTGCAAAACTCCCCTGAGCTCCTGCTCTCTGCCTACGGGGTAGCGCTGCTCTGCAGGAACAGTCATGGAGCCGTAACACCGCCTCTTCGCTAAAGCTGTTTCCTTCTACCTTCGGCTTGCCCTTGAATTTCCTGGGAAAAGCCAAGAACCCAGTGGCTAAGCTCCATTTTGGGGCTTCCCTGCATCATTTTTCCCTATAATGTAAGGTCTGTGAGTGCATATATTTGTCTGTCTCAGTCATTCACATATCTCCTGGACCTATAACATGCAGGGAATGAGTAGGTACTCAGTAAATATTTGATAGATTCTAAGTGTTAGAATTTGCAGCTCACCTATAGAAGACAGGTTGTTTTCAACTCTAGTCTAAGAGCTCTCCTATGTCTAAAAATAAAAATAAAAAACGTGCAGTCCTTCAGCTTTTGCAGCCCTAAGAGGTATGTCAGCACAGCAAGCACAGCCCCGGTGGAGTCCTCCCAGTCCCCTAAAGAGAAGTCTGCTCAAAGGCCTTCACAAATCACACACACTAGAAACCCTGGGCCACAGAAGAGCACCGCTTGGCTTGCTTAAAATGGCCCCTTCACAGAGTGGGAAATCACACAGAGGAGGTGGGGATCTGCCTTCATGTTCACTAGATGATTCATTCAGTCTCTTCCCTTACCCCAGAAGATAGGTGGAGACCCAGGTTCATACTGGTGAAATGAATTGCCCAGAGCCATGTAGTTAATAATGCCCTTTTTCACATTCTTCAGTGGCTCCTAGTACCAGAGGAAATAGGAAATTCCTTAGCAGAATATCTAAGGCACCTCCTTTCAGACTCATCCCCATTCAAGGTTCTGAAAGACGCTGCACTCTCCTCATGCAGAACTGCAGGCAGTTCCTGGCACAGACACACTATCTCACAGTTCCATCCGACACATGCCTTCCCCTCCTGTCTGCCCCCACAGAATGGGGCTTATTCCTACTAGTCCCTTAAAATCCACATAAATACATGAAAAAACATAGCTCCTGATAGAAATAGAGCCTAAGCAAACAAACGTGTGGGCAGAAATATTTTTTCAAAAATAGTCTTTGATATACAGTTAGACAGTACAAAATTAGAAACAACTTAAATGCTTGAAAAACATGGGAAATGTTTAACAAATTATAGTACTTCCCTATTCAGGGGCTACTAACACAGCCATACATGGGTTGGTTTGTTTTCCTTTTTAGATTGCCAGCAAAAACTTTTTGCTGAGACAGGAATGCTGAGCTGGGTTTTCACAGGTTTCCATGTGATACAGGCCATAGCTTAATACACACCAAGAAACAAGACTATGCATTTGCTAAGACCTGTGAGAACTTTGCTTCATGAGTATCTAAGAGAGCACAGGGCAGTAAATAGTTCTATTCAAACAATGACACCATGCTGAGGTGTCAACAGTATCACAGTGTAATTACTATACATGCAAATCAATCCTTTCAAATGTGCTGCTAAAAATACTAGCACTTTGTTAAGGCTGTGCCGTAACACATAAACACCCAATTCCAGGGTTCTTCCTCAACCACATAACTAGCCCGATGAGGATGTTCCTGCTCACCAAGTGATTTTCCTCCACACAGGGATTCAGTTCTCCAGGCTCTTTCCAACTGTAATTCTTCCATCCTTAGAGTCTTGAAGTCCTGGCAGGTGGAGAGAAAGAATATGGAAAAGTCACACCTCTTTACTGCTTTGTCCTGCAAGTGAAACATATCACTTCCAGTCCCATTCTGTTGGTGACTAGTCACATATTCCTACCTAGGGGCATGAAGTGGTAGGAATGCAGTCCCTAGCTGAGCACCCAAAACTCTACAGTGTGAAAAAAGGAGCACATTTTTAGTATATAGCCCAACTTCTGTGTCATGGCCACAAACCCAAAAAAGTTGAGAACCACAGAATAACAGGATTTTGTGGCTGTGCCACATGGAGAAGTGGTAAAATACCCAATACTGCCTCAATAGTGGATCGCTCTCTCCAGCTCCCAGCATTTTGTACATTGGAACGTATCTCAGGCCTGGTGGAGGAGTTGAACAATGCCTTCTCATCATTTCAGAGACCACATGGACGGAGCCTCTGCTCTCATTCCTCCAATGGCCTTTCAGTTGGCTACTCTCCTGCTAGGACAGTGTCCTTGCTGGGCAGCTCAGGCTCAGGCACTGGTCCCTGGTGCAGTCAGTTCTCACTAGGGAAGCCGAGCGGGCTTCATTGTATGCATGTGGTTGAGAAGGTATAACTACTTCCAGGAAAAACAAGTGTATGGGACCCCTTTTCCAAGAGAGAGACTGTAAGCATGGCTGATACTTGAGGCGTTATGGACCTGCCAGTACATAGAATCATTAAGAAGCCACATGAGGACAGGAATCATAAGATGTGTTGACCATTTTCACCACTGTATCCTCAGTGCTTCGCACAGTGTTTTAGAAACCCTGCAGCATCCTCCTGGAGATGCACCCACTAGGGCCTCCGAGTGCCGCAGGTACACTGGAGAAGAGAGAAAAGAGAAGCCACAGTACGCTACAGTTGAATAGCTACTTGTTAAATAAAAAGTTGAAAAGAATGAGTAAATGAATAAATACTCGTGTTCTTGATAAATGTTTAATAACATAGAAAAGAGTAAGAACAAAAGGAAATAATCTGGGACACAAATACAAACAGTCATGTGTCACTTAATGATGACGTTACATTCTGAGAAATGTGTCCTTAGGCGATCCTGCAATCATCATAGAACGTACTTGTGAAAACCTAGGTGGTGGAGCCTACTACACAACTAGGCTGTATGGTATAGTCGAGCACGTGGGGACTACAACCCTGAATAGCATACTGTAGACAAATGTAACACAATGCTAAGTATTCGTGTACCTAAACATAAAAAAAGTGGTAAAAATATGGCATAAAAGATTAAAAATGCTACACCTACACAGGACACTTACCATCAATGGAGCTTGCAGGGCTGGAAGTTGTTCTGGGTCAGTCAGTGAGTGAGTCAGGAGGGAATGTCAGGGCCTAGGACACTACTGTGGAATTTAGAAACACTGTACACTTAAGACTATACTATATTTAAAACTGTTTTTCTTTATCAATAATAAATTAAGCTGGTCGGATACAGTGGCTCATGCCTGCAATCCCAGCACTTTGGGAAGCCAGGATGGGTGGATCACCTGAGGCCAAGAGTTCAACACCAGCCAGACCAAAATGGTGAAACCCCATCTCTACTAAACATACAAAATTATCCAGGCATTGTGGCACGTGCTTGTAATCCCAGCTACTCGAGTGACTGAGGGACAGGAAGCGCTTGAACCAGGGAGGTAGAGGTTACAGTGAGCCCGAGATCACACCACTATGCCCTAGCCTGGGTGACACAGAGAGACCCTGTCTCAAAGAAAACCAGAATAATAATAATAAATTAACCTTAGATTACTGTAAATGTATGTTACAAACTTGTAAATTCTTTAAATGTTTGACTCTTTTGTAATGACACCTAGCCTAAAGCACGCAGTGTACAGCTGTAGAAAGTATTTTCTTTATATTTTCTATTTTTCAAATTATTTACTTATTCATTCTACTTTTTAACTTTTCTGTTTAAAACTAAGACACAAACACAAAAAACTAAGACACCGACGCACATAGCAGCCTAGGTCTGCTTTCACTTCTACATCTCGCCCCACTGGAAGGCCCTTCAGGGCAATGACGCACAGCTCCTATGGTAACAGTGCCTTCTTCTGGAAAACCTCCTCAAAGAGCTGCCTGAGGCTGTTTCAAAAACTTTTTTAAAAATTTTACTGTCTTTTTTAATAAGAAGGAGTACACTCTAAAATAATGATGACAAGTATAGCAAATCCATAAAGCAGTAAGTCACTTATTACCTTTCTCAAGGACTGTTTACTACACGTAGCGGTATGTGCTGTGTTTTTACACAACCGGCGCGCAGTCTGTTCACACCAGCATCACCACAAGCACATGAGCACCGCGTTACACGGCTACGAGCTCACTAGGCAAAAGGAATTTTTTGGCTCTATTATAATCTGAGGGACCACTGCTGTACACACGATCCACTCTTGGCTCAAACATTGTTATGCAGTGAATGACTGTACTCAATTTTATAACCAGCATGATCAGAATTATGTAAATATTTGTCATATATACATAAAAAGACTAGAAAGAAATAGGAAAATATTGACCTTTGGTTCATGTATTTATAAATCACATTTTATACATTCAGATTTTTCCAAGCCTTCTAAGGATAGAATCTTGGTACAGATTTAAAAGTTCTAATAAGTGTTATTATTTTTTAATTTCTACCAATGTTGCATCCTGTAAGAATTATTCTGACCACTCCAAGGAAACTTGAAAGCCCCTCCTCAGTGTTCTCCTACTATCTGATAGTATCCTCTACCATTCACTAAACACACTGGATTTACATTGTTTGCTTATCTAACTCCCAAGCCCTTGGAGGGAAGAGACTGCTTCCTTAATCCCTGAATTCCCAGGCGTATGCACACACACTAAAGCACTTTTAAGGTCTGTGGACTAGATGAAGAAATCAGATGAGTAGGGGTATGCAAACCCAGGCATTCCTATTCCAAACCCAGTAGCATTCCAATCCCTGGGACAAAAGGGATCCGAGATTTCCTCCACTGATGCCTGTGACCTGGGGACTGGGAAGTACTGTATACAGCAAGATCCTAGAAGACAAGCTGTCCACTTGAATAGTCAGCACCAGGCTGCAGGAAAAGCAATAGCTGAAATCCAAGTTAGGTTTTCCTGGCGACAGCCAAGATTAGTCAGAAGTAGCACTTGGAGGATTCCCCAAGTCTGCTCATTCCTTTGGGATCGCTCATTCCTTCCAAGGCCTCCCCTGGGAACAAAGGAAAACCCCAGAGTTTGGGACTGGGCTCTTTTCCACCAACAGCTTCGAGTAGTTTGTATTTAACCCCAAATCTCAATTCAAATAAAAGGAGATGGGGGAGGGCCGAGGAGTAGGTCAGCATCCCCTAGGAAACACTTAGATTTTCTTTGAATTTATTCCAGAAAATTCTTCTAAAGGACTTTTAAGGACCACACAGCATAATGCCTTGGAAACTTAGTTTTAAACTTTTTTTTTTTTTTTTTTCGAGACAGAGTCTCATTCTGACACCCAGGCTGGAGTTAAGTGGCATGATCTCGCCTCCGCCGTCTCCCAGGTTCAAGGGATTCTCATGTCTCAGTCTCCTGGGACATCAGGAGCACACCACCTTTCCCGACTCCTTTTTCTATCAGTAGAGAGGAGGTTTCACTATTTTGGCCGGGCTGGTCTTGAACTCCTGACCTCAAGTGATCTGCCCGCCCTTGGCCTCCCAAAGTGTTGGGATTACAGGTGTGAGCCACCACGCCCAGCCAGTTTTTAACATTAGCCACACTGAAACTCAACTATTGGTCAAGTGAAGCCACACAAAGAGCAGTAAATCCCCTGTTCAACGGAGGGTTTGTGATGCCCCTGGGTGCTGACAAGACAAACCACACCCCCTCTCTCTGGCACCTCGAGGGCCCGGCAGGGCGGGGAGCCTGGCTGTTGGGGAGGTGCTAGGTGCGACCCCCCCCCAAGCCCCGGCCGGGCACAGGCGGCCGAGACCCCGGATGGACCTCCTAGGGCTCATCTGAGAACAACCAAGTCCTAGTGCCTCTGACGTCGATAGGACTCCACGTGCCACTCCCTGCAAGGTCAACTAGAAAATAATACCTAGACCCGTAGGTGCCCACAGAGCAGGTACCTCTGGTTCTGCGACAGCGTGCCCCACCCGCGGGACGGCCAGGTACTTTGATTTCTACAGTCACCCGCTTTCTAAAACCAAACGAAACCCAAGAGGAAGGGCAGGCCCAGGGTGGGGATGCCCTGAAATAGTCGAGAGCGGGACCGTTCCTACTGAAAAGAAGTTTACAAGAACGCTCTGTCTGGGGCGGGCAAGGCCTCAGCGAGGCGGGTCCGGGAGCCAGAGCAGGGCAGGGGCCGCGCGCCCGGGTCGGGGAGTCGGGGGCAGGAAGAGAGGGAGGAGACAGGGCTGGGGAGCGCCCGGCCGAGCGCCAGCCAGGCTCCTCCGGCTCCCGCACCGCCTCCCTCTCCCCACCCACCGCACGTACTAGGGAAGGCTCACAGCCCTCTGCGCTCACTTCGCCGCCCTGAGTCTAGCTAGCCCAGCGTCCGCCGCGCCTCGGCCAAGGTGAGCTCCGCCCAGCCCACGTGCCCTTCCCGGATAGTCCCCAGCCCCCGATCTGCTGGCCGGGGTAACCCTCGCACTTGGCTTCGCAGAACGTCCCGGGCACCGCAAGGCCTGAACAGGGAGCAGCCGGTGGGGAATCCGCTGCTCGGTGCTCCGGGCCGCACCCAGACGAGGCCAGCAGGGCCCCTCCCGGGCCCGAGCGCGACCGCCCCTAGACCCAGGCGGACCAGAGGAGGGAACACTTGTCCTTTACCTGGGGACTGTGGTGTTGGTGCCCCTGGACCTCTTCCCTACTTCGTTTCCCTTGCTTTATTCCCACCTTTCCTGCTTTCCCACTCGTCTCTCGGGTTACCGAATCCCTCCTGCTCGCCCCTGCCCTGGCTGGCGTGTTTCTTGGTGGGTTCCGCCCGCCGGCCAAGCTTGGTTTACATATTCGTAGCCTCCACCTG